ACACAGCAGTATGAAAATTCGACTGCGTGAAACACACAAACTTCACGCATGCGTGGAGTGTATGGAATGTACGGGAGTGATTCACGCAATGGTGCGAATAGTCACGGCCCAATAAATTTATCAATAGTCAATAGAGGAAATTCCGGGAATCCCAAGCCAACTTTTCCCTATTTCGTCTATCACTCCGTAATTCTCCGGGGGCTTTATTGTGACGAAAGCAATTTATCAACTTCGAAACTTTTTTAATTTTACAATCAACAAAAACGCCTCAGATTTCCGGGAACTCCGGTGCTCTCTAACGCTCGTGTGAGCGTGGATACATCACGCCTCGTGCTCGTGCAATTTGTTAAACTCATCTTTCGCTAAATCTCCGGGATCACTGATATTCCATAGCTCCAGCCTCTGCAATCATTTCGAAACAAACATCGCAATTACAGAGACGATTTACACATCGGACTCAGCCAAGTGTAATTGTGATGGTAATTGACGAGCTTTTTTTAGACATATTACGACACTCACTTTATTAGGGTGTCACAAATCATGATAAGAATTCTTAAATCCAGTGAAACAGTTGACGTAGTCGCAATTGAAATCGGTGGAGGAATTCCTTTTATTTACATATAACCTTCTTGGTGGCTAATATATCTATAGCCAATAATATCAATGCTATTTTATTGGATGAACGACAATCTTCGGCAACACTGCAACATATATGGAGTGACTAATCCTGAAAAAATTTAGTTGTCAGTTATTTTCGTTTCGTGTCGTAAGCAGGTTCCATTATTCATTTCTTTATTATGAGAAGAAAATGTAAAAAAAATAACCATTACGAGAATAATAATTAGAATGATAGTCATTAGGTATGGATTTTCCCATATTTTTCTCGCGCAATTTAGCTGAAAAATTCAAAAACTGAAAAAGTCTATAGCGCAATCTGTCGAAAAGGTGGAACTAAAGAACTATTTTCTTTCCATTTCCGTCTTCATAATCAGATTAATTCAATTTTATCCATTCTTATTCTTATTATATAGATTTTTTTCCGTAATTCACGAATTACAATATTGAATGAAGAGGAATTATGTTGAAGATCAACGAAAAGTGTTTTTTTTGTGATCAAAACAAACAGAAAACAAAAGTCATTCGAAATCTCATTCGGGTAATAGAAATGTCTCTCTATTCCTGATAATTTTTGATATCTATTTTTCCCTTCATATGGTGAAAGGATATCGGTACTGCTCATTCCTGTGGTCGGATTCCAATTATTATTATCAAAGGGAAATGAAAAAAAGAATCAGAAAGGGATAATCGACTAGAAAATGGATTTTTTCTCTTCTATTGCGTCGGTGGGAACTTGGAATCACTTCTTTTCTTCAATTATTAGAGGGATATCAGTATTTCAGCGAGAAGAAATTTACCAAATGCAAAAAAATGGACAGGAAGAAATTAAAAAAAATTAATTTTCCAATGTCTCCGGAAAATTTTAAAATCGATGTTTTTCGAATGATGGAAGAATACGCACAAATTCGATTTCTGACCTCTTTTGATAGAATGAATACAATAAATGACAGAAATTGAGAATTGGAGACGAAAAATTTTATCGGTCTATTATTACGTAATAATTCTTAATCTGGAAAATCGATTCCTTCTGTTGTTGTGCAAAAACTGTCGTGAAATATCCTACAATTTCGAAGGCCAGGGTATTACAATATTTTACCGCCGATAATTTTCAAACCCAAATCGCCCAAGACATCCAAAGATCTGTTGTTATCGCAACTGTTTAGCAAAAATAAGAAACCTGTTTCACGTTTTTTCTTCAAAAATACAAAGCCGACGATTCGATTATTCAATTTGATAATACATAGCTCGACTGCCGAAACCCACGGGCTCCCGACATGTCGAAGGTCAAGGCTTCCCTTCCGGAGTGACGCACACATTACCAAAACCATATTTTTTTATACCGACTCACTTTGCATTTCACGTGTCTGAATTTTTTTTTTCATTACTATTTCGGTATTTACTACAACAGATTGTGAGTCGATTAGCGGTACCAAGGCCGCACTGTTTCGCACCGCAGTGAGCGGTGGAAGACCGGCGATATAAACATATTCTGTAATGGGAGGGGATCGTCGGCTGGTTCGGGTTTGTTTCAGAAGCGAGTACAACAGTCTCCGTGCTGCTTCAACGCTCGCCTGGAGCACACAGATCTCCATCGTTTGGCGTTTTTATCCTCACTTTCCGCCTCCAATTTAGGTCGTCGAAACCGAGTCTGGTGTTTAACGATTGGTTTTCAGTGCTTTGTGGAATAACTGTTTTGTGCTAAATCCCGATTGTTTTGAAATATTTTCTATTAATGGATTTGTCATAGCTGGAGAGGTAGAGGTATGTGATCAATATAAAAATTAGAAGTTTATGTGATTGTTAGTTGGCGTCAATACTTCAATTGTTCAAATTTTCAGTGAAAACTCCAGTGTTTCCATAAATTCACTGCGAATCATTTGCAAAAGCACTTTAAAAAATATTCATTATTTAAAAAAAAATAGCAAAACTGTAGTTTGACTTGGGCAATGCCAGAGATTTCTGTACTGAACGATTAGAATAATTAGAATTCTGTAGGTGGAAAAAATGACCCGTCATTTTATCGTCTACCACACGCATCACGTGTTACTACTCAATACTGAGGAAAAAGTTGTTATTTTCCGGGTCATGTCACTAATTTTCAAGAATTCATCACCTATGATCGGTGAAACTAAATACCGAATTTTCTCCTACTTGAGTTTTCCCTTGCTTAATTCAATAGTGAAGTGGTCAACGGAGATAAGTCGACTCATCTCCCAGTTCCCAGAGTTTCTGAGAAATATTTCCAAATCTAAGGGAGATAGCGAAATTTCCGTAATTACATTTGTTGTAGCCCTCAATCGGCTCCACAAGAAAGGTCATAACAAACATTTTGCTATCTCCCTTAGATTCCGAGATATTCATTGAAAACTGGTCAATAGTAAAAATTGACTCATCTCCTGTTACCACTTCGCTACTGAATTGTAAATCATTCACGGAAGCATCTTAAAAAATACTCATAATAAAGAAAAAGTGTCAAGACTGTAATTTCACTTGTCCAGTTCCCACTCGCGTTATTAAACACATTCACCCCGACTTTCACACTCTCAATTGCAATAAAACTTTATCAGTCATGAGAGCGACAAGTGCAATGATGGGTGGAGGAAGGCCATAAATTTTCGGATGCCAACGTGCCTGATTAACGTATCAATGAGGTCGAATGGTGTGGAACGCGTGGCGAACGTATCAAGTGAGGAATGCCAATTGCAAGATCCACTTGCAGCAATTATATCCTCTCCCCCCCCCCCCTCGTTCACTAGTCATTATACCATTGACTTATGAATCGTTGAAAGAAAACGCCACCGCATGAATCACACCCGAGGAGACGCTCTCTGTCGTTTATTCATTACGCAAAAGCCAGAATAAAAATGAAAACATTGAATGAGACACGGAAAAAATCCTGGGAATCTTGTTTCTCAGCTTGTTCAGCCGACGTAACTCCATTGTCTGTGGATTGAATTTGTCATTGTCTCTTTTCACAGGTGGGTTACTGACACACAGCAATAGAGAGAATTCAATTATTCAGTTGAGACATCGGGTAATTGAGATGAAGCCTGAAACGGAAGGCAAGGGCTTCCCCAATACCCTTAATCTCATCGTCTCAATTCTGGTCCATCTTCTTCTACTTGCGCCTGTTCTCTACATCATTTCCATATTCAGTATTAATTACCAGTTCTTCTCGTGGCACCCAATATGCATGTCTGTTGGCGTGAGTATTAGAGTAATCTGTCGTACACACGTGTGAAATGTATCTGCACGGAGAGAAATATTCAATAAGAATTACGTATACACGACGAGAAATTTTCTAGAAAAATTCTAGTACGAATACTGGAGAAAATTACAATCCATCGGCTGTGAACAATTCTAGTGCTGTTAAAGTAAAGTTTCTTGGTATTTTTGGCAAAATTTCTGGGGATTTCTGTGAAATTTTCACAAAAATACGGGGGAAAATTCACGTTTTCACCAATAAAATTTATAGTGCCGGCACTGAAATTTTTTCCTGGACGTCACTTTGCGCCTCTTTTCCCGTGCTAGCACTAAAATTTTTTTTTTTAATTTCTCTCCGTGTATTTTTCGTAATTCCGGAGCGCAATGTGTTTGTAGGAAATTTTATGGAACTGTCACGTAATTTTTACCCAAAATTACGGAATTTTTCTAGAGCGTTCCATAATTTTTACCTGAATCTCCTGTAAACAATTACGATACCGTGACGTAAATTTTTGAGTCGTGTGAGAGAAAATTCTGGCGCTTGCGCTGGGGAATTCGGCGGAAATTGTATTCAAATTCCGCAGCTTTTATGCTTTCTCCGAAGAGATAAATTCGATAGAAAAATCTCTAGTAGCAATTGTGAGTAGAATGCGCGAGTCTCAAGTGAAAGCTTCGAGATGAAAAAAATTGGTGAAACCTTCGTCAATTGATGAACAGTTCAGTAGCCAAGCTGTTAAAAAATTTCGTCTCACTTTTTGGACATTTTTATCAAATTTAATCACCACTGAAATTTCAAGGAATTTCGTCATTGAAACTTCAGAATTTCGTGGAAAAATCACAGAGAACTGTCAATTTCAGGCCCATTGTTCCCTGAAAATGAATAGAAAACCAGAAAATTCCGGTAAATATATTCTTGAATTTTCAGGACAGCGACACTGAACGCGATTTCGGGGAAAAAATCATGAGATTTCAGATTTCACTGAAAATTCAATGTAATTTGGTACTAAATATTCATACTAGATTGGTAATTCAAATAAATTAAGGAATTGTCGTCTTTATCCCGCTTAAAATTCCAGAAAATTCATTCCCCTAAATTGCATTCAGTGTCGCTGTCCTGAAAATTAGTAGTCAACTATTCATGTTTTTCTAACAGTGTAAGTCGATTTAGACTATTAGTCAATTTTCAATGAATAGTCTTCAATGAATGAATTCTTTCCGTTACATTCTCCAATCTCAAATATTTCAATTCACAAAAAGCCATGAGAATCCCTATCGAATGCGCTAGGATGGCCTCTCGTATTGTGAATCCGTGGAAAAAACCTCCAGCAAAAGCGAGCAATGATTTAACGAGCAATTGTTCTTAGGTGGGGCTTCTCATCATCGAAGGCGTCTTCAGTATATCTGGAGAGGCGAACCTGAGTCATCGTCTCTCCCGAGTGAATCGCGTAACAGCCCACTGGATCATGAACACTGTCGGCCTGACTCTCATGTTCATAGGTCTGATCATCATAGTAATAAATAAAAATCGCCACGATAAGCCTCACTTCGCAACGACCCATGGACAATTGGGCTTGAGCTCAATCGTGATAGCCTCGGTGGTAGCATGCTTCGGAATTCTAGCGAATAATACGCGCTGGTTGTACCCGCGAGTCCGACCAATTCTCATAAAAGTTGGTCACGCATTCGGGGGAATAGCCATGACGATACTCTTCATAGCTACCATAATAAACGGAGTGTACAAGATGCCGCATCTCCTCGGCGACACGGGAAACGCGCTCATCTGTGCTGCGCTGGTTATCGCTGTTGTTCTTGTCCTCTTCAAGCCGATTATCGCTGCCATTGCCAGGACTAAGGTCATCTTGCAGCCACCACAGACCCACAATCAGAGCACATGACCGCAATAGCCGAGGGATATCATTCATCGAAAAAAAAGTCATGAGATCATGTCGAGTATCGAGTTATTTCACGCTGATGTGGACGATTTGTGATGGAGTCTCACTCAAAAATGTTCAAAATGCCAGTGACTTGATTTTCCGATTTGAATTAAGTCGGTACGTAATACCGGAACAGGTGGATTCTTCGGCGTGAATGAATCTGATGGTTTTTACTTAATTCAAGTAGATTTCGCGAGGCAATTCGACTTGGGGCAAGTATTTGTCATCTTAAGGATATTCAATTGTCTTTTACAAATTTGTCAGTTAAATTGCATGAGACAAATTTGAAGAAAATAACTTTTATAAATAAATAGTTGAAATTGTTTAAACTTTCGGAAGCCTCATTTTTTTATGCATGAAATCGATTTCTGGGGAAATTCGGAATATGAATAAATTTGTTGCGATCCCGAACAACTGATTTTTATGGTGGAAAATTGATTGTTTATGAATGATTTATAGAAAATGCTTGTAATTTTCAAAAATTGCAATTTCAAAATTATTTCATCAATCTTCCTCCTAAAGTAAACTCTCTATTTTTTCCGATTGTTAAAGTATTTTATATTTTATAACGGTTCAATATCATTGTAAAATATCCGGAAATGAAAGCTCTAATGTTCGACTGCAAAAGTAGAAAAAAAAGCATTTCACTGGAGGAAAAATAACCAAAGTGCTTGGATATCCTTAAATGAAGCATTATTTAACTTGAATGAAGTCCTCACCTACTGCCTAAAACAAGTAGATTCATCGGGCTGAGTCAAGCCGTCTTTTTCTACTCGAACTAAGTGGAATATCCCGTAATACCAAGCCCGCAACTGCTTGAACCGTCCCTTTTTTGAGTGCATCTTCGTCACTCCTGAGAAGAATCCCCCGACTATCAACAACTCTCCTCACCAAACCCAACAGATAAAAACGAATTCTCAATTGGCCTCATGTGACCCTGACGATGCGTATGGAGCGTAACGACTCGTGTGTACACACCTATTTGACGAGCCCCTGGGTACTCACATGCCCGAGGGCCTCAACGATGTGAAGACCGATAAGGAATCACGGGAATAATGAGACTCTGTTCATCCAACGGCTCTCGAAACACGTGTTCTTCCGCGGAATTTATATCCCCAGTTGTGAAGAGAAAATAATGAATCTTTACGCTCGAAAGGCGAAATTTCAACGATTAAAAATTATCAACACTCAGTTACAGGAGTATATGGAGCATTAAAAAACCCGTCAACTCGAGTCGTTAAGTTGTATTCCCCCGCATAGTTATGCTAATGTGAAATTGTAATGAATATGCTAAAGGCGGTTGCAATGCTCGTGCATCAGTGATTTCATCGCAGATGACTTTGTCCCTGTTGAATTCCAAAGACAACGCTGCGAATGGCCAAACGACATATCTTAAACTTTTACTTCTTCCAATATTCAACGAGATTTCAATGCTACATTATGCAATTGAATAAATATTGCGCAATATTTTCAACCATATATCAACACTTTATTGTAATAATACACGCATCATATACATGTAATGTATGTATATCTGTTCTCACTCTCATCTTTGTGTGTGTTTTCTAGCTTCCTCGTACACTGTACATTTATAATAATCAACCGAGCATTTTTTAGATTATTTTTTTTTTCAGTGTAAATTCTCCGTCATATTCCAGCTTCTCAATTAATGTCTTCGCGATTATTATCCGTTTTTGTTATTCACTATGATCCGGCAATTGTTGTATACCCCTCGCAACTTAACATTATGCAACAACGTGTACATACTTATTTATAATATATATTTATACATTTATCCCGATTTCTTCGTTAATCTCTAGAGTCGTAAGCTAGAGGCTCTTTTTTATATTTTTTATTTTTTCACGTGTCACCTTTTGTCGGCCGTTTCCTTCAATTTTATTCTTGTATTATTTTCATTTTGTATTCATTATTGTGTTTTTGATTGTATAACGTTTTGTTTGTCAAGTAATTCTTGTTCGTAGAAATAAAGTCATTGTACAATTTCAATTTGTCTGGTTATTCGAAACTAGTGTAATATTGGTAATTAGTTTTGATTATAATTTTGATATCATCCGAGAAGAATACGCTATTCAATTTTCACTGCAGGGAGAAAAAATTGGAGACAATTACCAAACGAGGCGAGTAAACGTGGAGCGGAATCCATTTCAGTTGCGAAGCGAAATTTTCGTAGAAAGCTTTTTTATAGCTCTCAATTCGCTTGTAGATTCAAGAGCGAGTGCCCTGGGGTTTTTTACTCGCGTGTTGGCCAGTCCGAGCCGAAGGTGAGGAAAAACTCATGGCACTAGTCGTGAAAAATATTTTTCCGTGGTGATTTTTACTTTTACGAGTTTGAGGAAGGGCCAATACCAATCCCCGGACGAGGAAAAATGAAGATCAGTACGGAAAACTGTTTTACCGCTTCGCCACTGATTTCGAGGCTTTTTTTAGACTTTACTTTCCTGGACGTGAGGGTAATTCGTGCTGAAACTGTAAAATTGACCATTTAGTCCATCAAAAATTATCCCGTGAACATAAATAATTGCTCAATATTTCGTAATCATCCACATATGCAGGAATTTTTCCTGGAAGGAGAATGTTTTCCAACCGAATGCGGTATTGTGAAATTTCACTTTCGTGCGTCCCAGTAATTCTTGCATCCGCAGATGTGTTTTTTTTAGCGAACGAATCATAAAACATCCTCCTAAAAAAATTTTCTGGCAAATATGAGTGTGGAAAAATTTTCTTCGCCGCAATTATGAAAAATGCGATTTTATTGCATGGAAATTTCGCTCCACGATTACCTTTCGTATAGCAAAATTGGCCGCGATTTTCAAGATAATTCAGTAGCGAAGCGGTAAAACGATTCAAATCGATTTAGCCTTAGCTGAATTTTCGAGAAATATCTCCGAATCTAAGGGAGACAACAAAATTTGATCTCAGCGCAGTCTATTTTACCGTTTTACCGCTTCCCCACTGAATTTTTATCCAACTCTTTCCGCCGTGTAGTTTACTGAACTTTTTATTGTAAATACTCCACCAGGAAACAATCAATTCCGTTCGACTGGATGTATATTTATCCAGTGTTTACAGTAACTTTTCTGTTTTCTGTATACAGAAGAGCAATTCCCCCTCAGTTCAACTTGTCGTTTCTACCTATAATTAGCCCCTAGGGCACTTTGTACTGTTCGCTCTACTGCTCTTCATATTTTTTCCTTCCAATTTTTGGTATCGAGTTTTTTTCCATGTCAGATACATTCTAATGCACAGGAGTTGGATTTTTTTTCAAGCCCCTAGGTTTAATATCTACCATTTGATGAATTTTTATTTTCATCGCGCATGAAATAATTCAATGGAAAAATGCCTTCATTTTGTACTCGAATTTCATTAAAATTCTATTGAAAATTATAATGGTAAAAATCACTGAATTATGCTTTCTTCATTCGATTGTTTTTTTTTCTATTCAATTTTTGAAGGAAATAAATCAAAATCCATTAATTTTTTTCACACATGATCATTGTCCTCCATATATCTCGAGTCATTGATCTATCATTGGCAATCTATCAGTCAAAAAATATTCCATATTAATCTACAATACCAAAAATAATATAAATTCTTTGGAAATTCGTGTTGACGATTGTTTCAGTGTCGACAAATCAATCCCTAATTCTCACGGTATCGCATCTCTGGTTCACCCTAGACGACATTAATCTCCTACTTATCTATATTAATCACATAACTCTATTCACATAATTTAGGATTTTTCCTTTTTGCTCATTCGACAAAGCTCATTGACATTGTTTTCGTATTATCTACGCTCTTCTCGTTTTCACTGGAAGATCTCAAGCCATATAGCAACAGTTAATTATGTCTAACGCACAGGATTATCTCCCAGTAATATATTTTCACCATCTCAACGTAAATAATCATCAATTTTGAAACAATTAAAATCAACAGATCCTACGAGTCCTGATATAATCACCGAATAAACTCGTGTACAGTATTATACTTTCTTATACTCTAGAACACGTAAAAACATGCACTCTCATTCAATGTAAACAATAACATTATTAGGTAATTATCTTTTATTATCTCTGATATATATATATTTGGTAAATTCTCATGCACTTGGAATTCATCGCTCAACACTTGCTTACAGATATGAGTATATGCTTGAACATTTCTGGGATTTTGGGTTTATTTGTATTATTTTATCATTTTAATTCTCATTATTTTGCAGTTGCCAATGGGACAAATCGCAGCAGGAGAACTGCCCAGTGGTGGAATATTTAAGGCAGGCAATAATATTGCAATTATCTTTTATCGATGCATTCATACTCTGAGAAAAAAAAACAAATGTGTAATTATTATTGAATAAAAAGGAATCTGACTCGATTATTTTTGTCAAAAGCAATGGTTTTGTCTTCCGGTAGAACTAGTATAAATTCAAGTGTTCTAAATTTTATTGAAAACCCTAAATGGAGATACTTGCAGGTTGTATTCCGCGTGCAGGCAGTTCATATTTTTTCAATCTCCAGAACAAATGGTTTCACTCGTTGTGGAGATAATTTTGCATTTCACGAGACACGAAAAATGTTACGTTTTATCCCTTCACCACTGATTTGTTTCAGCGAAGTTATCTCATGCGTTATCGAAGACCATGTGGAAGTACACAATGAGTGTATAAAGGGTCTTTTTAAAATGTATGATGTACCTCTAATTGTGCAAGGGCGTATCCTTACACAATTAGAGGTACATCAGCGAGAATGTGGACCGAGACGAGTGAAGGGGAGACCGCACTGAAATAAAAAAAAATCGCTGGTGTCTTCATCAGTCGTGCTGATGAGTTTAGCAGTTCTGTTTTAATAGGAAAAAATGAGGTTTTGATTTGTTATTGATGAGAAAGCGGCTGTAGAGGAATAAAATCTTCAAAACGGTCCTCAAAACGCAATTCTCAACGAATTGACTCAAAATTTTTATTCACGCGCATAACTTGATGAGTTATTTTGCAGATTTTGGGTGTGGTAATTATTTTTAAAGGATATTTTAGTGAAAAGAGCTATTGTTCTTAAATAGAAAACGAATTTCATTTTAATCAACGTGTCTCCAACACGTTTAGTCTGGCGCTGTCTCCAACTTTTTATCATATTTCCTGGCAGCAGACAGATTTTATGTTGGAAAAATGGAATACCCTTTAGAGAAATCCAATCTAAGAACCCTCGAAAATTAATTACCGAACCTAACATATTTGTTGAGATGTTGGAATTTTTTCTGAAATTTTTTTTAAACAATTTTTCCGAGTTTTCGCCTACAGAAAAAAAAATCCAAAAGCCCAGAAAATAGATATTTTCAAAAATCCTCATTTAGTTACATTTATGCATATATGCTGTATGAATAAACCGAAATTCAAGTCAATCGATTGATTCCACCGATGAAAAAAATCAAAATTTCATTTTTTCTCGTTTTCCACATTAGAACTGAACCAAACTCATCAGCATGATAAATAGAAGCCCCTGTGATTTTGAAATCAGCCGCTTATTTCAGTGTGATCGCCCCTCAATGGGATACCTCTCAGGCCCATCCCCACCCGCACTCAACTCAACTCCCACTATACAATATACATTTCGTATAATTACGTCATAATTACTAGCAACACGTTATAAATGAGCCCAATAACTTTAGTACAATATGTCTCCCTCATCTCTCTGCACTGCTTCACATAAAAAATAAATACTTCCATATTTAAATATATTACTCTCTTTAAACATCTTTTCCTCACAATTATTGACTTTACGTACACTTATATTTGTGATATATTATTCAAATAATGATTATATATCAATTCACGTTTCTAAACACAATTCTGGCCTGCCAAAATTCCCTGAATACCCTCCAAATAATTTCTTAATCTCAATTATTGCATCTCTCGTTGGACATCTTTATTCCTGAATAATTCCCTGTCACTAAATCGATTATCATTTCCAGTTGAAGACACTTAGCTAAAATCTATCTTATTCGGTAAGCTATATTAACTAATTTACCTTCTAGTGAGCAAGACACCTGGACAATGTGGGAATGTGGCAAAGGTTGTTGTTTTATTTTACGAACGAAAATATTCGATTAAAAAAACTAGCGCATTCGCTTGAAAGTTCTATTAGATTTCTGTTGAACTTTCTGTTAGTTTTCGGCTTTAAATAGATAATATTTGTAATATGCAACTTAGATAATAATTGAAGTCAATTTACTTAATTTATATTATTTAAATAACATGTTTTAGTTGAAATGAAATTGTTTTTTATTTTTAAAAATACCTCCACATGTCCCATAGAAACTATTTTATAGAAAAAATTAGTAGAATTTACAATATTATGCATTGAACATTTCCGTTTAAAAAAGAGTATGGAATTCACAGAATTCTACAACAGAATCGGCCAAAAACTAACGGAAAATTCAATAGAAATCCAATGGAATTTTCTATTCAATTCGCTAGGTTTTTCTATGAAATATTTTCGTACGTGTCTTCATTTGCTATATTCAATTCTATTCGCATGGAATGTGAACGCTTTTTTTATTATAATCACTCTTTAACATTTTTCACTGCAACTTTTCCAGCGATCGCACGAATCCAGTCGTCACGTTTCTGTGAAAATGCCGCGCAATCGCGACACGCGTCTAATTGCCCACATGCACGCGTCCCAACGATTACGTAATATTCAAGCCAAACGGAAGAATAATGGAAAATAAGGAGGAAAGAATGAAGAATTCACGAATTGCTGGAGCAACTCAGAAGGAGCGAAGAATTAAACGAAAATTCCAGTTATATTTTCAACGGAAATTCCTCAGATTCATGTCTTCGAGGAAAGAATTTTCATTGAAATAATAGGTCATTTTGAAGAGTTGAATATTATCAATTATTCTCGGAGTAAAAGTGCACATCATGTCAGACCTGTTGGGACGTTATGAGATCAGCTTTACTGGAATTCTTGAGGATCGATGGACCAGGAAGCTTCTGCGTAGTCCCTGAGGCTATCGCCGGCTGCAGCATCATCGGTTGGCCGTTCACGAGCACTATTGTGTCCATCACTGAGTCATAGCCACCAGGTTGCCCTTAAATACCAGAGAAATCGTTCAGAAAAAAATATTCCGCAATCGTTATTTGTCATGGATTTTTTTATCGATGAATTTTTGACATTTTTTTCTTAATTCATCAGTTTCAAAACTATCCCTCAAATAATTTTATTAATAAGTTATTGCCCGCTGGAATATTCCCAAAATAATCTAAGGAATGGAAGAAATTCTATTCGTTTTGCGGCAGCTGATGCTTGATAGAAAGAATTAAATAGAATTGGATTCTATTTTTTTGCGTACGAATTGTCTTTTTGAAAAATTTTCAGAAAAAATTCTCGGACATAAAATTTCAATTATTTTCGAGGTATTTTTCCTTTGTTTCTCTTTGCAAAATCCAAGGGAAAAAACTCGAAAGTGTCAGCCAAATTCCAAAACATTCAGTGACGTTCTGTGGCAAATAAATAACTTGAAAATTTCTTTTTGGGGAATTTCTGTAGAAAAAACCTCAATAAAAGTGTTTCATAGAAAATAAAAAGTTATGCGTTTTTTCATAGAAATTTATGTTTTCTTTTCTATTAAAAAATGTATAAAATCGTAAGAATTTCCCACGTCCTGGATTTTTCTACATAATCATCTTCATATTCACCTGGTGGTGGTGTATGAGTCAAAGTTCTCGATGGTGTCAAGGGATTTCTGGACGCAGGCCTCCACTCGGCAGTCGGCTGCAACAGCATCCTAGCTCTTGCCCACACCGAGCCCCCCTTCTTCTTCTGCCTGACACGTTCCGAGCTCCTCGAGGTCCTCGGATCAGATTCCTCCTCATCATCGTCGTCATCATCATAATTCGATCGTCTCTTCGGGCTCCTCAACTGAAACTGGAGACAGAAGACCCCAAATAGGGACGAGTGAAAACCACCGTCTGAAGAATTGCATAGAAAAACCTAACGAATTAGGTAGACAATTCCATTGGACGTTAATTGAACATTCTATCAGCATTTGATTGATTCTATTGAAACGTCAATAGATAATATTGTACAGAAAAAGTCAATAGAATTCAACTTTTTTAAACAATTTATTCTATTGAGATATTTGTTATAAAATTTCGTAAAATTTTTATGAAATGAAATTTTAAATAAAATTCCAAGTCGTTTTATTTGATTTTCTTGATAAAATGAGGAGAAAAATACACTGAAAAAACTTGAAAAATTTGAGCCGAGGAAATTCTATAGAAAATATCTCAATTTATTAAGTTGTATAAAAAATCGAATTCCATTGATTTTTTCCATAGAATATTTTCTGTTAATCATTTCAATAGGATCGGCCAAATTTAATAGAAAATTCAATAGATATCCGATAGAATTGTCTAGCGAATTCTCCACGTTTTTTTTTTTCAGTCGAACAACTTCTGTTTGAATGAAAAAAATCACAAGCGAAAAATAGATAAAAATAAATAGACAAAGATAAATTACGCAAACGAAAGAATTATGCAGATGCTAGACTTACGAGTGCGAACAAAACGATGACAAACACCGGAAACAGTCCCACGAGCCATCCAACGGCGTCCGCCCATCTAGGGTAGACGTAAGCGCCGTAGGATAGCGGCTCGTACTCGACCCAATTGAAGAAGAGAATGAAGAAGAGTGCAGCGGGTGTTATGACCTTCCACATCCACGTCCAGAAGAACCTGAAGCACCTTCCACGGGGACCTATCATGTGCTGAACGTCGTCGAGGAAGCGGTCTGCACCGTAGACCCAGGCGACTAATATGCACTCGCAGATCGCGATCAGCAGGACTGACCAGTTCGCAGCGTATTTGTCCATCAGTTGGAGCCAGTACATTCCAGCCTGAAATTTCACGGGGTGAAGACCTCAGGGGAGCTCTCGGGGAGGACTTTTTCAGTTGGGAAGAATGTCAATTTTCAATGATGATCAATGATTTTTGGGGAAACCGGACGACTATAGTGATGGATATACCACTTAAAATATTTTCCACTTTTAAAAACTCCAGTTTAACGATTTTTGAAGCCTCTAACGCGTATGAAAAAATATTTTCTATACGATATATTTAAAAACAAATTTTTTTTCTATTTTTTTTTTCACGGATTGCGTATAGAAATTCTATAGCATTTCCGTATGTGATATTCGTAAAAAATGACATGAATTCGAAATGTTTCTATACACTGAGAAAAAAACGACAAAGTTCCCAAACAAGTCTTACTTGTGCCAAAAAAAAGAGTTTTTTGAAAATTATCAAAAAAGGGTTTTTTGTGTCAAACATGAAGAGAGTGCGCCGGAATGAAAAAATTTTGTCGCAAAAATAGATTTAGTGTTTCAAAAAAAAATTTCATTCTCTGTAGACGCAAGAAATGTCATTTCTAGCACTACTCCTTCGTTATTCGATACTCCCATACGTATTTTGCTCCCGAAAAATCTTTGTTTTATGCGAAACAAGGGATAGTATTTTTTCGTTTCGGCTGTCTAATAATCACAGACAAGAAATGAACCCTTAATGAAAAATAATAATGATATGATTGCAATCTTGTAATTTAGGGATTAAATATTTGTTGATAAATTTTCCTCTACATGAGATATTTTCATCTTGAAAAGGCACCGTCTGGCGTGAATTATCCGCCTCTTGAGCCAAATATTTCAAATTCAAACCAAACAAATTCTTTTTTTGACAATTTTCAACTAGCGATTTTGCTGGCCCAAACAAGACTTGTTTGACAACGTGTTTGTTTTTCTCTCAGTGCACGTTCAGTAAAAAAAGGGCGCCGTTGGTGAGTTGATTCCAACGACTCAATAAAGGTTCAACTCACATTAGTGGTGAAAATAATTCCCCCAGCATATCCGAATATTGATACCCCAAGGACAACCCAAGTTTTGAAGTTTCTGAGTGCTGGAATACCGTCGAGAATAGCCGTTGTTACAGTTTCCATAAGAGCAAACTGTGAATCCAGACCGAGGGTCAGTAGCATCACGAAGAATAGGAGAGACCAGATTGGTGCTACTGGTAATCTCGCCACAACCTTGAAAACAAATTCAATAATAACTCGTGTTCGGCGGTGAGGGAGGGGGATGAAAAATCAATTATAATCCAGTAACTTACCTCGGGATAAACAATAAATGCCAATCCAGCTCCCTGATCGACAACCGAAGCAACGGGCACACCAAGTTCATGGGCGAGAAATCCAATTACGGAGAATATAACTAGACCCGCGAAGAACGATGTGCCAATATTACTCACTGCTACGATCAGTGAGTCTTTGTAGCAGTTGTTGTCGAATTTATTGTACGAACTGAGAGTTATCAGGCCCCCCCAGGCCGGACTCAAGGCGAAGAAGATCTGGACTGCTGCGTCGCCCCAGACTTTCGCGGATGCTAGGCGCTTCCAGTCGGGGGTGAGGTAGAAGAGAATACCCTCGTCGGCCCCGGGGAGCAGGATTCCGCGGATGAAGAGGGCGATCTGCAGCAATTAACACGGATATCGCGGTTTTCGGTTGCATTTCTCAGGATTTTTTGACGGCACGGGCGAACAAATTTCGTAGAAAAACCGGACGAAGTCGATGGAAAATACTAGGGGATTCCGAGATTGAACTTCTTCTGGGAATTTTTCCAGTTTTCTGGGCGATTCTCTTGAACTCCGAAGGTTAAGCGAAATCCAATCGAATTTTTGAGCGAATTCGCTAAGTTTTCTATGAACTTTTTCTGTATGTATATAAATTCACGAAACAGTCAATGAAAACTGTAGATTGATCGGGGAAAATGAGGAAAATTCAGATGAATACATTTTTTAATTCCAAATAATTGGTATTTTAACTCATTTTGACACGAAATATTCACGTCTCGTGGAAAATTAAAATAAGTTTGCGAAATTTTAGTCTTATTTTACTGAAACTTTTTAAATTTATTTTTGAATTCCATGGGCTTTTTCCCTTTAAAGCGAATTTAATACCACTTTTATCATTACACCTTCAAGTGAAGATAGAATCGTTCAGGGAATTTCTTATTCATCTTGGATTCAAGAAAATACGAGTATTTCAAATCGAATGATCATTGATATTTCAATGACAGTTTGGATTTGCAAATTTCATTACGAGAATTAAAGATAACATTCACTTGAATTCAGAACAATAATTGCCCAAAATTTCAGTTTTCAATTATTTTATCTGTTGCATGAAGTTTCTTGAATTCTCTGAAACCCTTCCGGAATCTAAAATCTCAGTTAATTAGTAGATTTTTACTACAATATTTCACAAAATAAATATTAAACAATATTAAATAAATATTAAAATATCAAAAAATAACTACCCCTTCATATTTCACATATTTTCAACTGCTAAGAGTTACAAAAAATTCCATCTGGAAAATCGACTGGAAATTCAATAGAAGAATTTATTAAATAACGGCTAGAATACTTCTAAATTACCAGAACGACGTAAGGAAAGAGCGCAGTGAAGTAAACGACTTTCCCCGAGCTCTGCACCCCCTTGCTGAGGCACAGGAATACGATGACCCAAGCGAGGAGCAGACAGGCTGCCAACGCTGGACGAACGGATCCAGTAACCTCGATTCCCTCGCTCATACCCAGTACGTGATGTCTGCGTGCAGCAAAAGTAATACAAATTGAAGCATGAATTGGAAAATTTAAGTAAAAAATGAGAATTACGTAAAAAAAATTAACTTTTTTTATGAGGACCAAAAGAATTATTGTGGCCATCGTGGGAAAAAATTCTTTTGAATCCTTTTTCGCGCATTTTTTCTCAAACTCTCAATAGAAAATATTTTATATCGAACATTAATAGTATTTTTGTTTTCTACAGAACTTGTTCGACTGGAATATTTTCTCGATATAAAAAATTGTATAGAGAATTTATGAAATAGTTTCCCTGGGACATTTTGTATCTAAAAAACGTAGAAAAGTCGCGGAATTTGTCAATAGAATCTACGAAAGAATAATAGAATTTTTAACGGAAATCGAACAGAATTTTCTAGCGAATTCGCTAGGTTTTTAAATATTGGTTTTTTCATGTGCAACAACTTGAATGAAAATTTCAATTTAAAAAAAAGCTAATTCACAGCGTTTTACATTTTCTCTACTGAACTCAAAACTTGGCTTCTGCACTGCAGTAATTTTCTAGCTAAAAAAAATTTAAATCGCATGTAAATTGGGGGGGGGGAGGATGAAGAGGCCAATTAACTTGTCAGAGAAGTAAAAAATGAATTGTTTCTTCGCTCCATAGTAATTATTTCGCTCCTCACTCGAAATATTCTTCGGCGGGGGGACGCCTCACTGCGGACGCGATTATATCCGCCGAGAGATTCATAGCGGCTTGTTGGGTTGAATTTAAACATTGTCGTTTGTAATAAGAATTATTGAGGCTGGCGCACTCCTCGGCTTTTATCGGCTCGATGCAGTCCTCGCCGCTCCACTCGGGCTCGCAGTTGGACCAGGGTAGGTTGCTGCCTCCTGCAGGCATTAGAAAACGATGTAAAAAAGCGAGAGGAGGCGATGACCGGTGATCCAATTGAAAATGAATGAAGTGTTGTAAACCAATAATTGAATCGAATAACAATAACAATGGAAACAATGGGATAACAATGGAAATGTTTTCACTGGGTTTATTTCATGGAATTACAATATTTCAGACTGCCTTTGGCGACAGTCCTGTGGTATTTGTACCACAGTTGAAAGTTTCGATTCGAAATGCAAAAAAATTCATTCGAAAAGACTTTGAAAAATTTTTATAAAAGAAACCTAACGAATCCGTTAGACAATTCCATTGGATTTCTATTGTATTTTCTATTAAATTTGGCAGATTCTATGGAAACTCCTCGGCTCAAATTTTCCACGTTTTTTGTTTGATTTTCTTGATAAGGAGAAACGAAAAATAGAATGAAAAAAACTTGGAAAATTTGAGCGGGGAAAATTCTGTAGAAAATATCTGAAGAGAATAAGTTACATAGAAAAATCGAATTCTATTGCCTTTTTTTATTGAATATTTTCGATTGAACATTCCAATAAAATCGGCCAAAATCTAATAGAAAGTTCAATAGAAGTTCAATAAAATTTTCTAACGAATTCGCGTGGTTTTTGTATTAAATTTTTTCGTGTGTGACGCGACAAGGGATTATGGTTCCTTTGAAATTGTCAAATCGGTTTGGAATTCAAATCGGTTAAGTTGAAATTATTCTGTATTATTCTGCAATTATTCTACTTGCATGCAACCCTCACAAAATAAATTGTGCGAACGTAAATGATGGAACAGACTACATTTGGAGACTGAAGAAGGAAATGAAAGAATGCGCTGTCCGATTTATGCACACAATGTAATAATCTCACCAACAACAGACGCAAACATGTAGTAAAGTGTCCAAGCGATGATGAGGTTGTAGTACAGCATAACTACGGAGCTAACGAGCACCATGCCATACCCCAGGCCCCTGAGGAGGGGTGAGAACCTCTTGTACGCTGCAACTGGACCCAAGCTCGCGTATTGCCCTGAAAAACCCGGGGAATATCGTAAATCTCGAGAAAATGAACCCTCTGCGATAAAAAAATGTGCACAGAGAGATAAGTCCCCTCAATTTAGGAGTAAAGTGGTGGAATAAGACGAATCAATTTCACTTTACGACCGACTTTTGGAAAATGTCGCGGGATTGAAGCCTTTTTCGGAGAACTTTGCATATTTTCAGTAGATTTTGAGTCATTTGCAAACAATTATTTTGGTGCGTTTACTCATTTCGTTTTAACGCGATCTTGATGGATTTCCGGATGAGATTTCAAGTGGAAAACAGATAAAAGAGACTTTGAATTTAGGATGCACGACACCCTTTCGACCAAAATTCACGTTTTTTTTTATTTTCCTGGCAAATTATTGATCGGATTGACGCGAAATAATATACCGCTTTTGCTTTTCATCATTATTGACTGACTCACGAAGTTTCATGGTAGTGCAATCATTCTCCTGCATTTTTTCTAAAGTTTTGTAAACTTCCGAAATTTTTTATAAAAAACGCAGGAAAAGAATTGCACGATCGCTGAAATTTCGTCATTAAGTAATGACAAAACGCAAAAACGGTATATTTTTTCACGTCAATCCGATCAACAATTTGCCAGAAAAGTTAAAAAGACGTGAATTTTGGCCAAAAAAGGTGTCCTCAAACTTTAGATTGAATTTGAGTTGAATAAGCTAATTCACAAGATTCTGATTTTTGAATAAATTTGAGATAAATTTATTCTCTTGAGTAAAATATTTTTTTTTATATTCAACAAATGTGGAGGTATGCAATGAAGACAATCTTCGAAATGAAAATTGAATATTGCATTGATTGAATTTATAATTCATTGAAAATTGCGGAAAATTTTAATCCATTGAAATGTTATGGGAATTTATTTTCAATTATTATTATTATTATTATTATTATTATTATTATTATTATTATTATTATTATTATTATTATTACATTTATCGAGAAAGAACAGTATAATTGGATACATCTCATTCCGACATTAGTTGCGCATTGTGTATAAAAGTGTGTACACCATTCCCAAGAACTATTCATGATAATAAAATCATGCAATTACCCAGTGACAGCTCCATGAACATGAGAGGAAGTCCAGCGATGATGAGCATGATGGTGAATGGTATGAGAAAGGCACCGCCGCCATTCGAGTAGCAGAGGTACGGGAATCGCCAGACATTTCCGAGGCCCACACTGTACCCCAGGAGGGATAATAAAAAATCAAATTTTCCCGTCCACGTGCCACGCTCCGGGTGCTCATCCTCGCCATCCTGCAGCGGTGCTTGACTGTTTGCCACTGAATACTTGTCTTCATTCTGAAAGTTCTTCTGCTTTTCAAATGTTTTATCCAGGTTTTAGCGCTGGGCGGGCTTTGTTTCGATTGAATAGGACTCATTTAACAAAATAGTCGCATTCATTAATGGGGAATGGGGAATGTCCCAGTTGTTGAACGCAGGATTAAAATTTCATAAGTTTGAGGGGATTTGGGGGGAACCACGCACGAGAAATTTAATAGGAAAACCGAGCGAATTTGATAGACAAGTCTATTGGATTTTTATTAATCTTTTCTATAGAATTTTATCGACAGGAATTTCTCAAGTTTTTTTGTTATTTTATTTTCTTGGTGAAAAGAAAAGAAAAAGAAAAAAAAGAATATTTGAGCCGAGGAAATTCTAAAGAAAATATCTCAATCGAATAAGTTAAGCAAATATATTTGTTATATTTAAAAACGCTGTAAAGCTGGGAAATTAATAGAATTTTCAATAGCAGTCTCACAGAATTTTGTCGCTAGGTTTTTTATGTAATATTTTCGTGCGTGTTGCACGAAAAAATTGTTTATGTAAGAATAATTTAAAATATTATTATTATTTGTTTATTTTATAAAAACTATATTTTAAACAACGAAAGAGTGATCAACTCACATCCCAACAATCCAAATAAGGTTTCATCCTCGGCGAGGAGTCCTCCATCCTCTGTTCTCGCTTATTCGCCAGGTTGCCTTTTTTCACGTTCTTCTTCGTTTCATATTTGATAATTATCTAACCCAGTTTTCCCCCTTCTAATTTCCCAATTTGTCCTCATTATCAGTGCAATCTCCCCAGGTCTCCCCAAACAGCACGAAAACCCGTCGATTTACAAAATCACCCGGGATTAAATCGAAAAACTCGGCTGAATATGTGACAAAGATCCTGATGACCTCATCTGAAATTCATCCCTCGCACTTTCCATCAGTTTTTCCTCATCTCATTCTCCTTCACCGAGCGATTGACGCTCAAAGAATCCCTCTGATCGAATATTTATGCCCACACTAGTGCTCCCCACCCTCGTTCCTCCAATGCCAATTCTCCTGGAGCAAGAGAGCCAGCTGAGAATGAATGATTTCCAAATGAACGGAGGATAAATAAAAAAAGGCGATGGCGGACAGAGATAAAACCGACTATTACTCATTTCCATGTTTCTCCAGAGGGTTATCATATTCTTATGGAAATCGAGGGCTTTCAGAATTGCCAATAATCCTAGTGGGAATGTTATTGCATTGTGTAATTTTATTACGCAATCCAGATTATTCCGAAATTTGTATCAAGCGAATTCAACGACAGTCTATTCTCTCCGAAGAGGTAAAGACTGATTTATTCATCGCGAAATAAGAGAAAAGGGGAATAATCGTCTTCATTCGTATTCAAAAGCGAATTAATGGAGTGAAAATTTCCCCCCAATTGGCCTCAATTCAACAATTTTCCTCTTTAAAAAAATCCTCGAAATATCGAGTCTAATGTTTATAATTTTATTCTTCAGGGTAGCCTACATAAAATGCAAAAAAAGAAAAACGAAAATCCAGATTATTCCGAAATTTGTATCAAACGAATTCAACGACAGTTTATTCTCTCTGAGCAGGTAAAGACTGATTAATTCATCGCGAAATAAGAGAAAAGGGGAATAATCGTCTTCATTCGTATTCAAAAGCGAATTAATGGAGTGAAAATTTCCCCCCAATTGGCCTCAATTCAACAATTTTCCTCTTTAAAAAAATCCTCGAAATATCGAGTCTAATGTTTATAATTTTATTCTTCAGGGTAGCCTACATAAAATGCAAAAAAAGAAAAATGAAAATCCAGATTATTCCGAAATTTGTATCAAATGAATTTAACGACAGTTTATTCTCGAGTGTAATGTCTGTAAATTTACTCTTCAGAGTAGCCTACATAAAACGCAAAAAATGAAAAATGAAAATCCAGATTACTCCGAAATTCGTATCAAACGAATTCAACGAAAGTTTATTCTCTCCGAGGTAAAGACTGATTTATTCATCGCGAAGTAGCAGAAAAGGGGAATAATCGTCTTCATTGGTATTCAAAAGCGAATAAATGGAGTGAAAATTTTCCCCCAAATTGGCCTCAATGCAACAATTTTTCTCATAAAAAAAAATTCTCGATTCAAAAAAATATTCTCCTCCATCTCGAGTGTAATGTCTGTAAATTTACTCTTCAGGGTAGCCTACATAAAATGCAAAAAATGAAAGAACCACAATCAATCATAAATGAACTCGCGATAATGAAATCGTCCACTCAATAAAAACTCCAGTGACGCAATCACCCCAAGGTCCCTGGCACCACTAAAAACGTGTATAATTCGACACTCACCGAGCACTCGTGCCCCCCGGAGTAGCGAGGGACAAGGGGGATAGAATTCCAATTCAAATAACCTCCCGGTGAATCGTTGCAATCACACACTAGCACGTTTCATTGATTAAAACCATACGTTATCCAGGTACGGTGATAACACCGGTAGCAGGAGGCAGAGCCTTGAGAATAATCAAATGCCACTGTCGATTGTCCGGTCAGCTGTTTCCCCAGCGTCGAGGTCAACCGGTACGACCCTGAGGATGACAACTGTTGGCCTTGAGAAGTAATTTATCTCCCCGCGGGTTTTAGCACCTCCACTTTCGCCCAAATGTCACTTTTTTCAATTTAATTTCAATTTAATTTCGGGGATTTTCGGATCTCCCGAAAGCGCTCGACAGCTTTGAAACGCGCGTCACAGGGGTAAACCGGAAGTTGGCAGAAAAATCGGCGATGGTGAGCGGAAGACCAACGGTTTTTCGACGTCAAAATAAAAAGTGAAAATAAAAAGTGCATTGAAGGAGAGAATCGAAAATTTTTAAGCACCACATAGTCACGGATTTTATTAACGAAGGTAGAGGGATTATTAATGAGGGGATAATTGTGTCCAATTATCCTCGAGTGCACAAACCCCGGAATTGTCGAATGAAACAGATAAAAATTATCGAGCGACGGACGGAGAGGTGAAATGAGCCCGCGTCCGGCCAACAGCAGCCTCCAGCCTCTTGTGGGGGTTGTACCATCGGGAACAGCAATGCCAGGTGCCACACACCCACACGAACAAAATACGCGTATACAACACCCACACAGACGGCAATGCCGGAGTTGAATTCGATCGATATTACTGCTCCTGCGAGCTGCGTCCTACCCTAAACCTTGCACTCTTGTCCTCCATCACAACCACTATCACTGGAATGGTTATATCCACCCTCACAGAGCCGTTCAATCTTCTCCCCCACCAGCGCCACTTGGCCCTATGCATTCTGGTAGTCGATGAGAGACGGAGGGTTGGAGGGAAGGACGCACTCATCTGCGCCTCTTCAATTCTCGGTACCTATTTCCACTCGACAATTCGTCATCGATATTTTCACTAGGGCTTTAGCCACTTTTGGAGTGATGATGGCATCGCGAATCATTACAGTCTTGACTTTGGGGGTATCTGAGTAGTTTGGCTTTTTTTAAGTCCGGCTTGAACTGATGCTGTTGACATTTTTTGCCGGAAATTTCGGGTACAATTTTGGAAATTTTTATAGAATTTAATTAACACTGACATTTCAAGGAATTTCAACATTGAAAATTGAGATTTTGTGGAAAAATCAAAGAGAACTGTCAATTTCAATTCCATTTTTCCCTGAAAATTAATAGAAAACCAGAAAGTTCCGGTAAATATATTGACAGTGACTCTGAATGCGATTTAGGGGGAAACAATCTTGACATTTTAGATTTCACTGAACATTTTATGTAATTTGGCACTGAATATTCATGTTAGATTAGAAATTGAAATAAATTAAGGAATTCTCGTCTTTATGCTGCTTAAAATTCTGGAATTTCACTGAATTTTCAGTGAAACCTGAAATTTCATGGTTTTTTTCTCCCGAAATCGCATTCAGTGTCACTGTCCTGAAAATCAGTAGTGTACACTGGGAGAGAAACGAACTAGTTCTGAAAATTAGTAAAAAAGAAATTGTTTTATTCGAATTTTAAGCCTCGAACTTAAATAATTGCTCTGCTTTCAACGACGGCGAAATATTTGGCTCAAAAGGCGTTGGAGGGAAGGACGCCCTCATCTGCGCCTCTTCAATTCTCGGTACCTATTTCCACTCGACAATTCGTCATCGATATTTTCACTAGGGCTTTAGCCGCATTTGGGGTGATGATGGCATGCGAATCATTATAATCTTGGCGTCGAGGGTATCCGAGTAGCTTGGCTTTTTTTAAGGCCGACTTGACCCTACACTGAGGGAAAAACGAACAGGTTCTCAAACAAATCTTGCTTGGGAAAAAAATGTCTAGTAGGAAATTAGTAAAGAAGAAATTATTTTAGTCGAATTTGAAAGTTTCTAATTGGAATAATTGCTCTGCTTTCAACGGCAACGAAATATCAAGAGGGGTTGGAGGGAAAGACGCCCTCATCTGCCCCTCTTCAATTCCCTTGCTTCAATCCCCTGCTTTTGAGGTGATGATGGTGTCACGAATCATTACAATCTTGGCTTTGAGAACATCCGAGTTGCTCATTACGAAAGATCATTACGAAAATTTCGGTATCTCCCTTAGATTCAGAGATATTCCTTGAAAACTCAGCTAAGATTGTGCGAAATTCTTTCATTGGAACTGTCACTTGATGAAACTTTCCGAACGAAGATTGATAGCTAACTAAAAATGGTGGAATCAAGCCGTGAAAGTACTCGAGAGAAGGACAGAAAAAACTTCATCCGGGTGTCAAAGAAAATTTTGAGAACGCGGAGAGAAATGTTCAGTAAAAATGACGGACCTCACAATTCTCTCACCGATTACGGAATCGACTCAGAAAATTCAAGTGACGGTATCGTAATGTTTCACAGGAGATTCAGGTCAAAATTACGGAACGCTCTGGAAAAATTCCGTGATTTTAGGTCTAAATTACGTGACAGCAATAGGCAATAATATTAGATTTTGACAATATTAAAAAGGGATTATCTCCTTATATTGTTCACAGTTTAACTACATTTAACAAATTTATAATATTATAAAATTTGTTAGCTAAATTTTTCGATTGATGATGAATAGAATATTTGATAATACTGAAATGTAATTTTGTAGTTAACAAGCTAATTCTAATTTTAGGAACTGGATTTTCGATTATCCAAATAATCGTCAATCTTCCTACCTAAATTATTGGTTGATCGAATATTTCGAAATTTAAGTTTACAGATTGATGGTTACTTTAATATTCAAAATTTTTAAGATTTATGTTAAAAATTAAAAACTTCAGAATTTAACGGTAATTATGAATGATTGATATGCCTATCACTGCGTGACAGTTCCGTAAAATTTCCTGTAAAACATTTCACTCCAGAATTACGGAAAACATATATAATTTTTATTGAATATTTCTCTCCATGAAATACCAAAAATAGCGACAGAGGGTAATTGATTGATTATCTACGAATTGATTACTTCAACCTCCCAAATTCATTTGCAAAAAATTCGATTCGGTTAATTTGAATCTCCGAAAGAGAAAAAAAAATAAAAAAAACGAAAAATTCATCTGAGAAACCCGAGGGGATTTGAAAGAAATTGAACCAATTGTAAGGAGCCATTGCAACCCTTCTCGTTGAAACAAGGAGATGAGGGAGTAGGAGGGATGAAGAGGATTCATGAAAGAATACACAAAGGATAGGGGTGAGTCAGGAACGAATGGGAAGGTCGGAGTTGATCGAAATCCGTTGGCATTCAACCGAAGGCTTCATTCCTCGGAAAAAATTCACTTCCTCCCCTCATTTATCCCCCGTTTACACAGGCTCACTTCCTCATTTTTGCAAGTCTCTATCCCCTTGAAGGCGATTATCGTTGAGCGAACGGAGTACAAGTGTCTTTTTAATTTCCAAGATCAATAGACAGATTGTTGCTTTTTATTCAAATTTAAATAAAAAACTAGTCTTTTATTTAAATTCAGTAGCGAAGCGGTAAAACGATTCAAGGATTGATGAAGGGTCACGATTTTAGCGGAGTTTTCGTAATAATTTTCTTTGTATTTCTCAATTCGCCCTATAAAAAAGATTATAATAAAAAAAATTTCCATCTGCTTTAGATTTCGAGATATTAATTGAAAACTGACCAACAGTCAAAATCGACTCGAACCGTTTTACCCCTTCGCTACGGAATTCTTTAACTAAAAGATTGTGAATTTTGAATTAATTTTTTTTGTCTTAAAACACAAATTCCACGAGGACAGAAATAATTAACAACATTGAAAGATTTAAAGAGGAGAATGAGGGAAAGTAGAACTCAAAAAATTTTAACTCCAATAATCCGCCAATAAGAAAAATAAAAAATCCTGTTTTGTATTTTTAAAAATCGCAAGGCAAAATTACCTAATTTTCAAAAAAAGGGAGCAAAAAACAGATTTTTCAATAAAATTTCTACAGAATTCCACCAGAAAATTTTTTGTCAAAAAAATTCCTCCGAGGAAACGCTAGGTCGTGGGATTAATTCGTGGGATTCATAAATATTTCATATGAGAGGAACAAATGGACGAAAACCTTTCGATAATTTATCGCTCGACGGATTGTTTTTCGATTAGGAGCAAGGTTGAGGTCACGCTGAGAAACAAGCCTAATCCTCTGGCATCGCACGACGTCAAGACCCTTTTGGAGGATCGATCCGCAAGTGGTGGGGGATCTCTGTTTGACACTGCACCAAACCGATGGAGTTTTACGCCGCATTTGGTATACCTCTGGGAGGTGACTCCGCAGGTACATGAATTCGATAATTAGAATGGGGATATAATTGCATCAGCCGGCGAGTGAATTTTCAATTGAGCCTAGTTCACCGCAGAATTACAATGTGCATGGATGTTCAAGGTTCTGCTGGCCCTAGTCATGTCGGTGTTGTCGTTATTGGAAATGAAAGTCGAGTCAAATTGCCGGATTAGTCGTAATAAACGGATAATAGTTCATCATTCGAGAGATAATCTTTTTGAATATTCAATATGTGCGGAATCGACGAACGAGGTTGGTCTCGTTTTGAATCTAGAAAGAAAGAATTTTATTCACGTCCGAAATAATGCAATTAAAAACCTGGCGCTTAATTCGAGAGTAAATTGAGATTCTATTGGAATTTGATGTAAAACATGATGAATTTTAGTTTTTTGCGCGCAGCAATCGCGTAATTCTCAGGAGAAATTGACAAAAAAGCCTGTTGGATAGGGTTGGGGGTGGAAAGAGAACAAATCGTAAAGACCCGAAAGGGTATACGAGAAGAAAAAATTTTATATAAAACATATATTTCATGTATTTCTTTAGATATTTTTCAAAATACAAATTTTTCTGTGTGGGTTCGGTAATAAAACGCCCAATAAAGCTGCGGAATTATTGGATAGAATCTCCCAAAGACAAATAGGAATTTTTTTAAAAATCAGTCGAAATCCAAAAGAATTTTCTACTGAATTCACTAGGCTTCTCTATAAAAAATTTTCGTGCGTGTTTTCATCGAAAAAATTCAGTTCAGAATGTACACGAAGAATAAATGAGTGTTCCGCAACATAAGTAAACTCAACTTCTATTGCTCCTGTTCTTGAGATAATCTTTTTGAATATTCAATATGTGCGGAATCGATGAACGCGGTTGGTCTCGTTTTGAATCTAGAAAGAAAGAATTTTATTCACGTACGAAATAATGCAATTAAAAGCCTGGCGCTTAATTCGAGAGTAAATTGAGATTCTATTGGAATTTGATGTAAAACATGATGAATTTTAGTTTTTTGCGCGCAGCAATCGCGTAATTCTCAGGAGAAATTGACAAAAAAGCCTGTTGGATAGGGTTGGGGGTGGAAAGGGAACAAATCGTAAAGACCCGAAAGGGTATACGAGAAGAAATAATTTTATATAAAACATATATTTCATGTATTTTTTTATATACTTTTTAAAATACAAATTTTTCGTGTGGGTTCGGTAATAAAACGCCCAATAAAGCTGCGGAATTATTGGATAGAATCTCCCAAAGACAAATAGGAATTTTTTTAAAAATCAGTCGAAATCCAAAAGAATTTTCTACTGAATTCACTAGGCATCTCTATAAAAAATCTTCGTGCGTCTTTTCATCGAAAAAATTCAGTTCAGAATGTACACGAAGAATAAATGAGTGTTCCGCAACATAAGTAAACTCAATTTCTATTGCTCCTGTTCTCTTGGCTTATTTTCGTGTTCATCGATTATAATTATAACTATAATTATAATTACTCTACTTCCCAGCTAACAATTTACCCGTAAATTTCCGGATATTGACCGATCTCGCTGGGGACTTTTAGATGGCATCCGTAAAAATTGTTCCCTGGATTGTTGATGTTTTGAATTTTGACAAAAAATTTTGCCGGTACATCCAGATGGCGCTGTTGTTTGACATTTGACTGTAACCTAAAACTCATCTGACAGATCGAGTCATCGAGCAGAATAAAATACATAGTGCAACAATGACCAATCATTTATCATAGATAATATAGTATAATACAATAATATTGACTCTTAATTCAACAAAAATGTCGTCTGCACATTTATCCAGTGGCAGATTGAACATAGGACTGCTCCAGGAGCAGACGAGAAAGCAGTTGGTGAATCTAATCGAGAGATGCGATGGGCCGAAGGTAAAGCCACTTGTTTTTATCAATCGAGAGATCGACTCCTCAATTGTTTGATTATTGAAACGATAGGCCATCGTTTGGGATCGGTCCCTGGACGGTCCAGTGGGCCTCATCGCCAGGTACAGCCTCCTGGAGGAGTATGGCGTCGTCAAGATGTATCAACTGGTGGGCGGTCAACTCCCTCCCACTAGTGTCTCGAACATTATATTCATCGTTCGTCCACATTTGGATTTGATTGATTTGATAGCTGAAAATGTTCATGGGTACGTTTCATAAACTCTTAACAATAAAGTAGAAGAATAATGAATCATATAATTTTTTTTCTATTGAGACAATTAAATTCCTTGAACCAAGACCCACTGTGACAATCGTGTTGGGCGTGTATTTTTCATCGAATAAAATTATAAAATTGAAACATTGCAAACAACGATATTAGTTAGAGTAAAATGGGGCTAAATAGGCACTTTCAAGTTGCTTTCACTGCTGATGACTTATAAATAAATTAATCTAATAAACTCACGCACGAAAAAAATTCACAGAAAAACCTAGTGGATTCGCTGAAAAATTCTACTGGATTTCTATTGAATTTTCTATTAGTTTCATATCTGTACATTTCTTCAATAACAAAACATTCGTTTAGACTTAAAACAAATTATTTGACTCAAATAAAGTCTATTCAGTTGTTTATTCAGTTCCTTTTGTTAATGTTCAATTATTCATTACAAAAATGCGTCCAATATTCTCCAATTAATGTTCATGCACAATTATAATAATTATAACCCCATCTGGATCGCCTCAAAAGAATATCAAAATACCTCGCGATTTGTTCCCCACAGTGAGCAGAACAAATCCCCAAAAGACATTTAAAAAAATTATTTAACTCAAATAAAGTCTATTCAGTTGTTTATTCGTTTCCTCTCGTTACTGTTTAATTATTTATTTAAAAAATGCGTCGGATATTCTCCAATTAATGTTCATGCACAATTATAACAATTATAACACTATCTGGATCGCCTCAAAAGAATATCAAAATACCTCGCGATTTGTTCCCCACAGTGAGCAGAACAGATCCCCAAAGGAGTTCCACATATTCTTCGTCCCTCGCAAAAGCCTCCTCTGCGAGAAGAAGCTCCAGAACCGTGGAGTCTTCGGAAGTTTCACCCTGATCGAGGAATTTCCCTGTGACCTCTTCCCCTTCGACAGCGACCTAGTCTCAATGGAGCTGAGTCAAACCTACAAAGAGTTCTTCCTGGAGAACGATCCCACGTGCCTCTACCAAGTGGCCCAGGCGATCAGACGTCTCCAGAGGCTCTACGGGAAGATTCCGAGGGTGACAGGACGTGGCCCAGCTGCCAGCAAAGTCTGGGAGCTCCTGAAACGCCTGGACCGGGAGGAAGAGGACCTGAAACTCGATCGAGGTGCCATGACAACTCCTCCGATAGAGCACCTGCTGCTGATTGATCGAAGCATCGATCTCCTCTCGCCCCTGGTCACTCAATTGACGTACGAGGGCCTCATCGACGAGATCTTTGGCATTCAGAACACAACGGTTCAGCTGCCGGCTGGAAAATTCAAGGACAACGACGACTCCCCCACTGTTATGTCCGTCGACAAGAAGGAGAAGATTGTTCTCAACTCGGGGGAAGAATTATTCGCTGAGATCAGGGACAAGAATTTCAATGGGGTTGGACCTGTTCTGAGTCAAAAGGCTAAAGTCATTTCTTCGCAGTTTGATGAGAGACATGGGGACAAAAGTGTTCAGGAGATCAAGCAGTTTGTGGCGAGGCTGCCCCACATGCTGGCTACCAAGCAGTCTCTTGCCAGGCACACCACCATCGCAGAGATGGTGAAGGAGGTGACGGATTCCAATGACTTCCTGGAGTGTCTGCAGGTCAGGGATGGATGAATTAACACAGCAAAAATGAATGAATGAATCGAAAATGAAACAAATATTAATTACGATGTTTGGGCACCTGTTCGTCTGAAATTCAGATGCATTTTCATTTTATTCAGACGTTTTTTAGTGTCTGAAAGATCTCTACGAAAGGTGTGTGAAATTCAGACATTCGTTTTTGCTGTGAATGCTAGACGTGATTAATTTTTCATTGGTATACTGATGGTTAATTGATAAAACTAACGTTGTGAGTCATTTTGCTGTGGATAATGGAACTTTTCATTGTTACATTAGCAGTTGTGAGTCGACTTACTTGAGAATTTGTTTGTTTTTTTCTGAATTGTAGGGGGAACAGGCCATTTGCTGCACGGTTAAGGAAATTCGAGTTTCGTGGTAGAATTTAAAATAAAAGAATCACCTAAATGGGGATATCTGGAGAATAAATTAATCGAAGTGAAAATAACAAAACAAAGAATAATTGAATTAATAAACAGTTGAATGCAGCCAAAACCCCTAATTTCTGGATGACTGGGCCACATTTTTTTTATTTTCTAAATATCCATCAATATAAAAAATAACTGATCACATGATTATACACGAGTAATATTAGTGAAAGGTGAAATAATCAGTACAATTTTCATTTTATTTGTGGAGTATCCAATGCAAGTTAAAGTCGTTACCCTATTACTCAATAATCAAACAATAATTTCACATAAAAAATAACATTATTCCCAATCTCTGCTGCAGATCGAACAAGAGCTTCTGAACTGCATCGACACAGACAAACCAAATGCCTTCATTGAGGATTGCATTGCCCAGCAGAAGCCTCTGCTGAAGGTCCTGAGACTCCTCTGCATCCAGTCCATCACGAATTCCGGACTGAAACAGAAGCTCCTGGACTACTACAAGAGGGAGATTGTCCAGACTTATGGATATCAGCACCTGCCGACGCTGTTAAACCTGGAGAAGGCTGGGTTACTGCGGGCTCAACAGTCCAACAGACAGTACGCCGTTCTCAGGAAGGCACTCAGACTCACTGTGGAGGATGAGAGTGAAATTGCACCGAAGGACATCAGTTATGTTCACTCGGTTTATGCGCCCCTCAGTGTGAGGCTGGCCGAGCAGTTGGTGCAGCCTGGGGGGTGGCAGGGACTCAATGACGTGCTTGGCCTATTGCCTGGACCTACTGTCAGCAGCGACTCGAGGGGCACCATTTCGGGGATGAGACGTAAGGAAAATTCTTATTCCAGGGGTCAGCAAGAAAGATTAATTTACGGATTCTATGATGATACTCTTTCGAATTTCTGTGACTATTTTTTTAGAAAATCCTTCTGAAATTGCGAGTAAAAATCTTGGATTGAGACCGACTATTTCACGTGGAATTTGAATAAATGTTGCTTAGGACAAATCAATTAATTTCTAGAATAGTCAATGAATTGACCATTGGAATGGTGGAAAGCTGTGCAAATTCAGACAAATATTCGATGAAATGTCATGTTTAATGTACTTTTTTCATTTTTTAATTATAGGAGGCTCTATTACCAGTGAGGATTCTACATCAGAGCCTCCAAGGCTCGTTTTAGTTTTCTTTATTGGAGGCTGCACGTATGCAGAAGTGTCAGCTCTCAGGTTCCTCTCCCAGCAAGAAGATCGTAAGTAAATTGTGTGCAGAAAGTAATATAAAGAAATGTTTAATGAAAACGAAATGTTTCATCGTTTTTCTATTTTTCATCTAATTTTTCAGTTAACGTGGAGTTCGTTGTGGGCACCACGAAATTGATCAACGGTAATACGTTCCTCACCTCGTTGATGGACGACTTAGAGACTGTCCGAAAATAAACAAAACTTTCCTAAATCTTTCAGAATACCGTCTAACGAATAATTTTGTATAAACTACCAAAGATAAGGGTGTAGAGTAAATATACGATATTTTATATCAATACTGCAGTCTTTTGACGAATTTATTTCTCGATACTGGTAAGAAATGCGTGTGTTGGCACTGGAACACTCTGGTTATAAAAATAATTGACTGTGTATTTATTGCTGACGAATCGTCTGGTAAATCGATGATCTTAATCATGAATTAGTGGTGATTGCGTCTGGGGGGATATGGCCGGAGTCTCCGAAGCATCTCAGGGACACGCGACCATTGGGATGAATTGTGATCCAGGTGATACTGGCGTGCTTCAGGGAGAGCCTCAGCCAGGCCTCAGGGGGAAATTGCAGAGCCCTGAAAAAATATCAGATTCAATTCAGAGCCAAATAAGCAAGACGTTCTCTAAAATTCTTTCAAAGGGAGTGAAAGTCACCTGCATACGAAGTAACGAATGATATTCGCATGGCACACGAGTAGAGTATAGGAATCCTTTGTTTGTTGTGGAGTCGCCCGATGGAAGTACTTTCTAAATGCCGCCTCTATCCTAGGTCCATCCTGGAAGAACTGAAGAAAGAATAAATAGGATGAATAAAATTAATAGAAAAATCTAGTGAATTTGTTAGAAAATTCTATTCGAATGTTCAATAGAAAAAGTCAATAGAATTGGATTTTTCTGTATAACTTATTCTATTGAGATATTTTCTATAGAATTTCCTCGGGTCAAATTTTTCAAGTTTTTTTGTTTGATTTTCTTGATGAGAAGAAAAGAAAAATAGAATTTAAAAAATTCGAATATTCGAGTCGAGAGAATTCTATAGAAAAATTCTATTGACATTTTCTATTTGAAAAAGCACTGGTGCAGGTGTGAAACTAACACGAAAACTTCTGGAACATCGAGCAAATGAATAATTACATTGAAATTAATTTAATTTAATTAATGGAGAACAAATGGAGACATTGCAGTAAAATTGTTGAGGAATATTTTGAAATTCAGAGAAGATAACGAATTTTTTTGGGTAATATTCCCCTTTTTTGCAGTCGATTTGAAGAAGAATGTCCTCTTGAAACGATTATTCAAGTCTTGAAATCATAAAATCCCAGAAAATTGGAAATAAACTCACATGCCAGTCAGACTTCCAGTGGCCAATAGGTGGCTCTGGGGGAATCGGCGCCCCCTCCATAAGAAGGACGTCATCCTCAGTGGGAATGCCTGATAATGATTTTTCAATTATTTTGGAAGTCTCTTGTGCTCTGGTCATCGTTGACCTCACGATGAGCGAAAAGGGGATGGTCAGCTCAGCCAGACGTTTCCCAGTAAAATCAGCCTGACGTCTGCCTACAATGTCATGGAATCAGAAGAAATTCTACGAAGTCATTATCAAATAAATCATTGGATGCACGAGAAAAAATCTTGGAAAAACGTAGGGAATTCGATGGAAGTTTCTATTGGATTTCTATTGAATTTCTGTTGGGAATTCTGTTAGTTTTTGGTCGAGTCTATTAAAAAAAGTCTCTTTACAACTTTTTCGACTGAGAAATTTTATATAGGAATTCCTCGACATGAATTTTCTCAGTTTTTTTCACTCTTTTTTTCTCCTTTCATCAAAAAATTGAACAAAAAACTCAGAAAATTTAAGCCCAGCATTTTTTACAGAAAATATATCAATAGAAATTATAGAGAAAAGTCGAATTCTATTAATTTTTTTCTATAGAATATTTTTCATTGAGCATTTTCATTTCTATTGTAAAAAATGGGCAGATAAGCTGCGGAATTTTGCAATAAAATAGACCAAAAAGTAATAGAAAGTTCAATAGAAATAAATTTTAAATAAATTTTTCCGGCCAATTCGCTGGGTTTTTCCACATTTACCTAGCTCAGTTAGATATCGTTCAGCATCATTCGTTCCCTTCAAATTATACTGCCCATGACGAATGAGCAGCAGGTGCCTAGTCGCTTTCGCCTTCTGTTGTTCAAGCTGCTCGTTATATTTATTCTGAGCCTCTTCACTATGCCCTTTTATCGGTTTCACTAAACTCTTTGGGTCTCTCCTGCAAACATTTAGTCATCTGACTTCACTAATCATCATGCAGAATGTCAGCGACGAAAGGAATAAGAAACATTGACGACGAAAATGAAATTTTTATTTTCTCCCAAATTTTTTTTCAATTATTTTTACTACGAATTAATCAATTACTACGATGCGACCCACAATTTTTATCGAATATTTCAGCTCCAATTCAGCCGACGAACTTCATTTTTATCATATAGGATAGCTGATATAGCTCTAGACGAAATGCATAATTATTCAATCCTTCGAAAGTTAATTAACGAGTAAAATGTTGATCTTCAAAAAAATCCTTTCTCCGCAAAATTTTCTTGCCTTAGTAGGGGAGGGTGGGGTAAAATGGACACTTTAGACTTTTTTAAAATTATTCATAACTCAGAAACAAATTTATCAATTGAGTTCAGTTTAAGCTCGCCACAAAGGGAAAGAATTATTCTTTGAATTGAAAAAAAAAATTAAATTTTATCAACATTTCAACCCCTCATTAACATTTTTAAAAAAGTCTAAAATGTCTATTTTACCCCAACCTCCCCTAACTCATGAAATTCGAATATTTTTAATGAAGATGTAATTATTATTTTCTCAAATTTATGTCCAGTCATTTGCATGATATAAATTAAACAATTTCCAAAATGTATAATTATTCAATGGTCCCAAAAAAAAATTAACGAGTACAACTGAAAAAAGCATCCTCTTGGAAATTAAATATTTAAATTATTTTTAATAGTCTGCACTTATTTGACCCGTCAATTGACCCCAACTGTTAAATCTGTATTAAACAATTAAAATCAACAGTTAAAATGAAATAATGCGAAGTAATGCAAAATTTCCGTCAACTTCATCTCGTGATAGGTAACCGCAATGATAAGGCAATTAGTCTCAATGTAAACAAACTCTAACCTGTCCCAGTTGCAGTCCCACCTCACCGAGGGTATGAAATCCGTTGTCCAGGAGTTGGCAACGTGAGCAACCTCTTCTCTGTTACCGTAAACATTGTAATAAAACAAACCTGCACCACTTACAGTACCAACTGCAATTATTGTGTATTTTTGGAGACGCGAGAGTGTCGGCATTTTTCCAGGGATTCCACAACTGTGACTTGTGTCACGTGACCATGCGTGCACATATCTATCGTCGGTGCTGTGGGGGGAATGTACGAGTTGAAAAAATCAAGGTCGAGGCAATCTTCAGATTTTCCATGAATTGATTTTGCTGTTTGAATGAAATTAATTGAACTTTTCATTTCTCTTTTACTCATTCATTTTAATTTATTCATCTAATTAAAAACCATTAAATTAATTTTTCTATTATTCATCTTTTTTTGTCGATCGAGTTCTCTCTCCCTCGGTTTCTTTTCTTTTGTATAACTAAAAATCCTTTCCAAACAATGAACTGAAAAATCGGTATTATTCCAACCTTTATATTTTCATTTCAAACTCTGACTTCATCATTATTATTATGTAAGTTTTGTTTCTTGAACATTAAGAGACTAAACGATAGCTGCGGATGCATCTAGTGCTTCAAAGCGTAAGGACCCTCTGAACAAAAATATTATTTTATCCCGATAACAAGAAAATGAATGAACTCATTTAATTTGATTGAATTTGTTATTCAAGATTTTCCTGTTATCACAATATATTTTTTTCTGGTTATTTCCGTCAGTATTTATCTTACCAACGAAATGATATGGACAATTCCTCTTAATGAATTATTAAACTCTTCATTTCCCTCCGGAAAATGAAAAGAATGTCGTTTTATTTTTTTTACTGATAAAAAATTAATGCTCAGCGAAAGATGAGAATTATTCACTCGGGATTATTCACTTGTGAAGAAGAAAGGCGAATGCATTGTTCGAATCTTTCAATATTTATTTATGAAAAATCTAGATACAATGTACAATATAACATCACAAGTCGACGTTTCTTAAATTCAAACACTTCATTCTCCTCAGTATAAAATATATTACATTATTTTGTCTTTTTATTTCTGCTGGATCAGGTATAGAGTAGATATACCCCCACATTCTTCATACGTTGGAGGTACAGAAAATAATTTCTCCCTGGGAAAACTGTTCAAGTATTAATTTTAGCCAGCGCCTAATAGAAATCACAGAAAGTCGTTCCCAGTTTTGTGTGCTAATCTCACCGGATGAGGCGAGCTCATGGGTAATCAATGGGCAATAAATAAGAAGTGTGGAGAATAATGAGACGTACGGAGAGACTATGAAGATGAAAATGAGGCGAAATGGATATTTGACAAATTTTACGCTGCCAGTTTTTAGTAATTAATTCGATAGTGTAGCTGAAGAAATTTCCAATAAAAAATTGCTTTCACATTCTATCCTAAAACCACTTGTCATCGGAATAATTGGGCTGTTGCATGAAATTTTTTCATTGAAACAAAATTATGAAATACGAAAATTGAATGCGAATTATTAGACTCGTATTTTTCCATTTTGAAAAATGATGAATAGAATTTATGGATATTTCATTATTTATCGCTGCGAGGCTCCTAGTTCCGAGTGGTCGAGTCTTAAAATGATCTTCCCTCATTTTAACTGAATAAGTGATGTAAAGTTAGCAATTTCGATAACATTATAATTTACCAATTCCGAAATCGATTAAACAAATGAAATAAATCAAACCAATCTATTGATTCTAAATAGAATCTATTTATTCTTCACCGGAAAATGACTGCACAGCAGCGTTCTAATAATAAAAACTAAAAGAGATGAAAGACAATCCTTCAGATTATTCTTTTACTGATAATTCTGAAAATATTATTCGGGAATACTAAACTTTAGTATTTCGGACATAACAAAGAAATAATTTTTCAGTGCATCTAATGTTCATATAAATGAAAAAATTTCCTGCAAAAGCCCATTTTCTCCTCCACCAAAATGTAAGAATCTCGACTTATCACAATTGAACAAAAAAACTTCTACCTTGAGTACTCAATTAATCTGCAAATGCTAGAACACCCCCTAACAACTCCATTAAGCCTCATTCCCCCGCCTCCAAAAGCATGAAAAACAAACCAAAAAACACATTCACAAACCCAATAAATTACTCGTCACCTCCAGGCGCCAAAACTCCCCTCAATTCCCCGGATTATAGATAGGTACATCTGGATACTTTGGAAACTCAACAACAGCAACTGGATTTTTCACCTTAAAACTGGGGAAAAGTCCAGTGACACTAGTCCTCATATTCCTCCCCTTGGAGTAGCCATCCCAGTGGTTCCCATAGACCTCGACCTTGTCGCCAACCCTGAGCTGTATCTCGCCAAACCTCCTGGCCGCATGATCGAGGATAGCAACACCAGGATTCGGATTCTGTCCCCCATAATAATAAACGTCATCCAAAGACGTGAATTTGTCATGAGCATCAACATGATACGTTTGCATGAGTTCATAGGCAACCCTGCAAACTTGTGAGCTGAAGGTGCAGACGAGATGATCGCAGAGGGACAGGAGGTGAATGTCAACGATAATTCCTTGCAGTGAAGAGTCTGAGTATCGTTTCGACACAGAAGCAGTCTCAGCAACAGCTGGATCCCCAATGACTTCGTACCTGGGGTACCTTTTCCGGGCATTTGTTATCACTTTGGGATCATCACTGGCGATGAAAACCCTCCTGACAGGGGGTTCAGTCTCCAATTGATTGAAGTACTGATCTACCTTGACCATGTACTCGTCAATGTCGTGATAGGCAGCCTCAGTTCCCACTTTATCAGTTCTTCTCACGTGAATTCCCACAATGGGCTTCTCGAAACCGAGCTTCTCCTTGGAGTAGTCCATCATCTTCTTGATGTTGTCCTGGGGTCGCATCAGGAACTTGAGGACCTGCCCCACCCACCAGACGATGGGGTGGCCGTGCAGCTTCTGGATCCGCGGGGCCAGGTCTGCTGGGATACTCGGGGGCTGGTACTTGGGCTTGGGGTACACGTTGTCCACTATTGGCAGGGCCACCACTTGCTTCGTGCTGTCCCCGGGCCAGTTACTGTGGGAATCTCCCGCCGCTGAGAGACACGTGTTACTCAGGGGCTTGAACACACTCTCCCAACCGTCCTTGTGGTAACGCCAACCTTTTGATTTTAGGATTAATGTTCGCTCCGTTCCGTAGGCCACGAGGAAGCAGTAGGTTATGTGGTGTATCTGGAGTGAGGAAAATTTGAGAGAGTGTTAGATCGTAATTGAAATTTCAGGGAGATCAATATTTTTCAACAGTTCAGAAACGAAAATTCCTCAACTCACTTCATGAATGGGATTTTTTTTAATCCTATCAATTTTCGAGGAGTAATTAAACTGGAATTCATAGTTACTATGACTTTTTAGTCGAATTGAGAATTCATTTCATACAATTGAAATGCTGCAAAACTATTGACGAAATTTAATTGAATTGAGATTTCCAGTTCCAACCGATCATTTCATTGAATTGTGAGTTATAGCCATTCGATACATTAAATTATTAATTTGCAATTTCCTCTCTATTAGGTTAATTTCCCGATATTATTCAGAAACGCTCATTGAAAATGTTCTGTTTTTCTCAATGTTTTTTTGATTGTCCAATCATAATTTGTGAAGACTCCAGGGCTGTGTGAAACTGAATGGCAATCGGAGAACATGTCAGATTATCAAAATAAAAAAAACCAACATCACATTCGAAAGATAATGCCCGCAGGCCTTAAGGCACTTATTTATGCGTAATTCCATAATTTATACAACTGTTTCCATTAAAAAATTTTAAAAAGTATTCATCTCTAAATTTTCTTCCATAATAACTTCTCACCTAGATAAATGACTAGTCAACAAAAGAAATGAACACAATATCGAAGAAATTGAGGAATTGATCAAAACTTATTTAACGATATTAATGTTTAATAATAATATTTAATATTAATTAAATATTAATTAAAAAATACGATATTGATTGAATGGTAATAATATTTTATTAATATTTAATAATAATTTGATAACTTACTTGGCACCCAAATCCACAGCCTTTATTGAGACTGCAGGTCAACTTTTTGGCTTTATTACAGTCCGATGGATTCTGCAAATGCCAGAATCTCCTCTGAACTAAATCAGACAAGTCTTTAGCCTCCTTCTCTCTCCAATTTCTGTGGCCATCGGCCCTCTCCAGCGCATCGAGCTCCAACATCAGCTCTTTCTTGTGCTCCCAGATGTCCTTGAGAGAATCATCAACATCCTTACTCCGTTTGTCAACCGGAAAATCGTCCGCCAGTTTCTTCACTTTCTTCAATTCCGACGTGACGTAGTACCAAAACTCCTGGATATTATTTTTTATTTTTCTCCTGAGCTCCTCGTACTCGAACGAGGGGCCACTGTCCTCAGCGATCCTCCGTATGTCTAATTTCTCCCTGATTGCCCCCAGGTGATCCCCCCTAGCCCCCCTGGAATTATCGGCGAGCAGTAAATTGGCAAGAGCTTCGTTCTGCTTCTTCAGAATGCCAAATTCCTCGATCATTTCATTCAACTTCTGAGTATTCTCCTTCTCCATCTGGGAGATGATGTCGTGCGATGGTGGAGCACTCCTCATCACGTGGAAAACCGAGAGGATGAGAACTATCAACCAGGCCAGCAACAGGGCCAGTCCCAGTTTGCCCAGCCATCCGGGCCTTCCACTCCAGAATGTCATCCCTCAATCAGATGGGCTCTGGCGATGAGATACTCGCTATAACATCTGAAAATAGTTTTCAGATGGAACATCATTTTCATAATTTCTCAAACAACGTCGGCTAATTATTGGTTGAAGAACATTCTTCCAAACATTGTCCCCAAATTCTCCCAATTCCGATGATCACAGGATAAAAAATGAAACTGAAACTAGCAGAATATTCGTCAGCGGAAAATTCAATTTAGGAGATATTTAAGTGTAGGAGAGTTAGATAAAGAGTTTGGACATCGCTTAAAAGCATTTGTACACTCCGAGATTCGCCTAGGACAAATGCTCTGCTGTCGAATCTTTCGGTTGTTTCAGCTTCATGTGTAAAAACATGTTTACACAAAATTCACGACGTTTGCACGAAGGAAAAAATTGTATAGAAATTTTCTGTACGGATTGCGTACAGAATTTCTATAGGATTTTCGTATATGATATTCGGATATTTCTATACAGATATGTTTTATAGGGGAGGATGGGGTAAAATGGATACTTTAGACTTCTTTTTCATTACTCATAACTCAGAAACAAATTTATCAATGGAGCTCAGTTTAGGCAGAATTATTCAATTTTTTTAACATTTCAACCCCTCATTAACATTTTAAAAAAAGTCAAGTCTCCGTTTTACCCCAACCTCCCCTACAATTTTTTCACACGTGTTGACCCTCCCTCGCACGAGGAATCGTGAAATCGACCCCTCAAAACGCAAATTGACCATAAAAACCCCTCAACTAGTTGTCACTTACTTTAGTGTCGTCAATAGCCATAATGATCTTGCACTTCACATGTTCCTCCCGGAATGACTGTTATTGCTGACGTATGAGCACCCCAACTGAATCCACGTACGTACGGCCAGACTGAGGAGATTGTGTCTTTGATTTTCAGAGGTGGGAGACACGGATGTAAGTGAAAATAGGGTAAAGTGGGGGCAATTGAGGGGCACAATCTCCTCAGTTCTACTATACGTGTGACGTGTAATTTAGTGCAATAACTGCGGAATATGTAGTTATAAAAATAATGCACCTCGAGTCATCCCTTTCTTCCTCTTCATCTAGGGCTGATAACACCAACAACAACTGATTGTTCGATCAGACCGGGGGTTTCGATGACCGGAGATGAGATCAAATCGTCGAGAATTGTCTGGTGACGTATTTATTGATAATAATTTAGGCCGCCGTGGCAAGATTACACTTCAACTGGGGGGAGTAACTTCACATCCTAACCTCGGTACTTTCATTTGAGAAATAGTTTGATCTCTCTGTTTCGCTCTGGTCTTTTCCGTCTCTGTCGCGGTAAAACCGGAGGATTGCACTTGCAGGAATTGATTTGGCCAACAGGAACGAAATATTTGTTTTACCGACGAATGGTAGAGGAGGGCGGGGCAAAATGAAACAGCGGAGGAAAATAAAATCGACTATTTGACGGAATTCGGGCAGAATTTTCTAACGAATTCGATAGGTTTTTATATTAAATTTTTTCGTGCGTGAACGATCTGATGAATAGAATTCGATTTTTTCACACTTTATTCTATTGAGATATTTTCTATGGAATTTCCTCGGCTCAAATTTTCGATTTTTTTTCAACCTATTGTTCTTTTCTTTCCATAAAAAAAATCAAACAAGAGGGTTTACTATTTGAAAATATCTGGATCCTTATGGGGGACGCAGAAGTGACCGGCGTGATTCCATTGCATAAAATAATTTGTGTAGAAGTATTGCAACAGTATTGCAAAAATAGTTTGTTTTATAGATTTGTATGCGGATTTGGCTGCTCTCCAGCTTGTGGATCTGCGCCTTGTGCTTCTGTCGCAGTTCCACCTATTTGGGGGTGGGTCTAGGATACGATTCACTAGCACAAGTGGTAGGGTAACACGAGGGGTTTCGAAGGACACGGTCAGAGGTACACTCAACTAAAAGTGTGGGAGGGAGGAAAAAGAATGATCAAGGTGGAACTTCAAAACATCGTGGCGAATCGATGCAATCGCAAGAGCAAGGGGTTCCCCCCCCCCCGCAATTAATTAATTTTCAATTAATTGAAAATTCGTTAATATATTCACCTGAATTTCCCTGGTCTTGTTAAATGATTTTTCAATGACGAGGTTCTTTGGAAATTCAGTGAAACTATAATGTGATAGAAATTTCTGAGAAGGTAAAATTTCATTTAATCTGCCTTACAAAGCTTCCCCCATCAAAAAATTTATTTTAAAAATGTATAAAGTGGGCCAATTCCATATATTTTGCTAATTTATATAGAATGTATAAATAAAATATATAAAACATATATTTCATATATTTTTTTATATTTGTATATTTATAAACATAAAAATATGAAATATATGTTATATATATATTTTTGAAATAATATTGCTTTTTATATAATATTTTTTTTTTTTTTTACATAAATGGGGCCAATTTAAGCTATTTTTAAATATATTGTTCAAAATATAAATTTTTCCGTGTGGGTTCCTTCCAAAAATCAATAAATTCAAGAAAATATGAATTATGGAATAAAAAAATTGAAAAAATTCCTTCAATAGAATAATCTCAGAATTTTATTGGTTTTATATTTCAATTGGAGTATGAAATTGTATGGAATTCCTCTTCCTTCCGCAAGCAATAACTGATAAAGTTTGAAATTTTCCCCAACAATTTTTCTACATAAATTCTCAAAATTTTTTTTCTTGAATTCTGCAATGAAAAGTAGGAACTTCTACAAAATTTCTGAAAAGAATAATTCATATCGAAAACCGCAAACCTATTGGGTTTTGTCAATCAAATATCTACCGAAAAATCATACAGGAAAATTTTCGCACGATATGCTTTCTGGAACGATGAACTATTTACTTGATGACCCGGAATGGAATATTTCCCGGATCAATCTGACCCACAAATATACGCAGCACATGGAAATACACAGAATGAAATTAGAGATAATATTCTGAGATGCTGTGCACAGAGAGGAGAGAGGAAAAAGCGAGGGAGGAAGTAGAAAAAAGGGTTTATCGATGAATCATCAGTTTACTTAGATAAAAGTAAATGCATGGAAGAGTGGATTGTTGAGGGATGCAGGGGAGGATGGGAGAGCGTCACGTTATGTACAAATTCTTCTTGAATTGCAATCGATATGAGTTCGTCTGGGGCGTCATGCCGGCGCCAGAGGATGCCTTTATCTCGCCGAAATGAGGGGAGGACGTCACGGGGTTTAACGCGGACGGAGTAAACCCCCGGGATGACGTTTAATAACATCACCATCAATTACCCGGTGTACGTTTTCTGCGAGAGAAAATTTACATCATTTAATGATGTTCAGGGAATCCTGAGGGAGGAGATTGGGGGGATTTTCGGGGGGTGGGGATTGTCTGATGCTCAAACATGTCATTTGCATTGGTGAATGAGTAATGGTGTGGCTGATAGTATCACAGGTGTATCACGGATCATCGGAGATTTACATTTTTTGCATAAAACAAAATGCAACTTTTTTCGGAATCGGCGGAAAATTACTGGGGCGAACAGGCCGATTGCTGGACGGTTGAGAGAAATGTAAAGTTCGTAGTAGGATCTAAAGTAAAATAATTACCTAAATGGGGATGTGATGGCTTGCATTCTTTCAAGAATGTTTAATTAGTAGAAAAAAATGATTTGATGTGGAAATAACAAAACAAAGAATAATTAGATTAAGAAAGAGATGAAAAAATAGGGGTGGAGAAAGGAAAACAAATCATGAAATTTCAGGTTTCACTGAAAATTCAGCAAAATTTCAGAATTTTAAACAGCATAAAGACATTCTTTAATTCATTTGAATTTCCAATCTAATATGAATTTTCAGTGAAATCTGAAGTTTCATTATTTTTTCCCCCTAAATCGAATGCAATGTCACTGTCCTGAACAGTGTTACCAGATCGTGACGTCACCCGATTTAAAATTGTGCAGGATTTGGCTATAAATCCTCAAAATCTGGCAACCCCGGTCCTGAAAATTCCAGAATATATTTACCGGAATTTTCTGGTTTTCTATTCATTGTCAACGAAAAACGGAACTGAAATTTCCAGTTCTCTTAAATTTTTCCCCGAAATTCTGAATTTTCAATGACGAAATTCCTCGAGATTTCACCGGTAATTAAATTCGCTAAAAATTTTCAAAAAGTGTACCGGCAATTTCCGCCAAAAATGTTTACCCCTAGAATAGTCTACCGAATCCGTTAGGTATTCCCCTGAACTTTTCTCCTGCGAGGTAATATTGACCACCGCTGACCGGCGCTGGACCGCCCCTCCCCCAAGTTCATTCCAACGAATCCAGTAATAACCCCCCCGTGACTCGTGCAATGTTCATCAACCCCCGTCAAAAGAATTATCCGCCGATCGAACCAGAAAATATAAACCGGCCATCGCCAGGTCGATGGATGTCCGCCGAGTCCAGTCGTCTGGGTCACAGTGGTATAGAGGCCCTCCACTCCGCCTCGATTGATTTTTCAATCGACGAGCGCTGCATTGATGGTCACGTTTCCGCGCTCCATAATCAGGCAGTTTCCACCCGTAGCACGAGCGATGTTAGTGCCCCGATTAGTACACCCTCGTCATCCCCGCTGGCGGGGGGGCGGCTGGGGGATGAAAACAGGGGCTAAACTATGTGGAATGGCTCGTAGGCTGGCGTCGGGGCGCCGAGGAGGCGACACCAGTTGGCAGTCACCCCTAAACGCTCTCGGAGGGTGGATGGTACAATATCCACCCTCGTCCCCACTCTCCTCTCGTGTTTCAATCTCACTTAGTCTCTAGTCTTCAATTCGACTCTTGCCCTTTAAATTTGAATAAAAAGCCCAGTCGTCCAGCCACTCGCCCCCAAAGATTGTGCAAATATTAATCTCAACGCAAAATTAGAGGGCCTCTTTAAAGTGTCCTTCGGAGTCTCTGAGATTCTCCTGCAATTTAATCTTTCATGCACGTCATGCTGGCCGAGGAGTTTGTTACTTTGCGGGGGAGGGCAGTCATCCTGGTGATCCGAGCCCCCTCATTATAGTCAGTCTTGATGAATAGGTCTTTTATGATACACCGTCTCAAATGAAAAATAATTGGAGGAGTTGTGAGACATTTACAAGATGAATCGGGACAGTGAGGAGGTGAGTAATGATGAGGGAGAGGCGAATGTTTATCCGTGGGTGTCATTATTTTTCCCTGATTATTGCTGGACTATTTTTTGTATTTTCGATTCAGCAACGACCCATTTCGCAAACTTTCTGCGGTGCGCTGCAGAAAGAGGCAAATTGCAAGTGCCTGGTCCTCTCGGTCCTGATTTACGGGTGTTTAGCTGCGGTCACGTGGTGCAGGTGTGCTAATGTTACAAAGGTGTGTACTGCAATGGCGTTTGTTTCCTCGAAGGGATAATTGCGGGTAATTAAATGGAATTGTGTGGGGAATGGAGTGACGATTTATGGGGCTTTTTTCCCGGCAGATTGTCATCAATTTTTCTAAGATTCCACTCAAGTCCACGAGGCACGTGTCACCCTGCGACGACGGCTACATCTACATTCCTGTGAGTTTAATTGGGAAAATAAATCAGTGGTGAAGTGGTCAAACGGTTTAAGTCGATTTTGGCTGTTGGCCAGTTTTCACTGAATATCTCGAAATGTAAGGGAGATAGCAAAATTTTTATCATAACCTTTTTAGTAGCACTTAATTCGCTCTACAAAAAAGGTTATTATGAAAATTTCGCTATCTCTCTTGGATTCGGAAATTTTTCTGGAAAACTCAACTAAAGGCTAAATTAGCTTAAACCGTCTGATCATTTCACTATTGAAATAATGGTGGTGATGAGCTATTGGAGGGTCGTTGTTTAGATGGCTTTTATGGGCATGCTGTACCTGGTTTATCTTGTCGAGTGCTACCATTCGCCCATCAGACTCGATTTGAAGCACGGCGAGAGTCAGGATAACATTTTATCGAAATTGGCGGGGCTGAGATTGGTGCAGCCTACTATCTGGTGGAAGGCAGTCTCTTATCACTATGTCAGGAGAAAACGACAGATTACGAGATATAGGAACGGGGATAATTATACAACGACTCAGGTAAATCGAAGGGGGGAGGGGAGAGTGGGGGAATCAGAGGGGATCGAGAATTGATGGAGTTGTGGATTATTTCGGGAGAGAAGCGTTTCACAGGAAAAACGAGTGTCCGAATTTCACACGGCTTTTGTAGACATTTTTCACGGAGAGAAATTTTCTAGAAAAATTCTAGTACGAGTCTGGCAAAAATCACAATCCACCGGCTGTGAAAAATTCTAGTGCTGTTACGGTAAATTTTCACAGAAATGCGGGGTAAAATTCACGTTTTCCCCAATACAATTTCTAGTGCCGGCACTGGACTTTTTTCCTGGCCATCACTTTGCGCTTCTTCTTCCGTGCTAGCACTAGAATTTTTCTAAAAAATTTCTCTCCGTGTTCAGACACTAAAAAAAGTCTGAATAAAATGAAAATTTGTTGGAATTTTAAACATCAATTAAGATGTCTGGGCACCTGTTCGCCTGAAATTCAGACGTTTTCATTTTATTCAGACGTTTTTTAGTGCCTAAAAATGTCTGAAAAATACATCACCATCAGCCATTTTTCATAGTTTACAAAATTTCCCATAAAAAAATTCTCTTGACGTTTCACTTTGAAACTCAATAGATGGAGATATTTACGAGTTAATTTGTACTATTTTTATTTTAATCCATGACAAGATCGAAAACTTCCCCTTTGAATTCCTTAAAAGAGTGGGCCGGGGCGAAAAAGCATTAGAGAATCACTTCCATAGCTCGTAAAATACTCCGTAAAACAGGTGTTTAGATAATCTCTAAATCCATTTCTCTCGTGGATATTATCGAAATAATCTACATATAACGCTGGGTTTTTCCCTCCACAAATGGAAAAAAAAACAACTCCTCCATTCACTGTAGACTCTCCCCCTTCTTGGAACTCTACATCACCCCAGAAACTCCATCAAATAGAATTCCAGATCAGCCGCAATTTATTGCCCCCTAAAACATCCCCATCACTTTCACTCCCCAGGTTTACTACGAGCGTGTAAACACAAATGCCGCGACATCATTCTACTTCTACGATTACTGCGGTGTCAAGGACATAAGCAAAGAGCTGACCATGGACGCCAAGATCCCGATAACAAAGATAACCCTGAGCAAGGGTTTCGCTTTCTCCAATATGCGATCAGCAACCGAGTTCGAGGAGGCGAGATCCCGCTTCTTTGCTGAGCAGGTAAAAGAAAAACACTTGTTTTTTCCGCGGGATATGAATTCCCGAGAGGGAATCGATTTTTCGGGCTGTTTAAATTAGCAAATGCCAAAGTCTAGTTGATTGGGATCGATAAAGTGCAATCAACTGAGTGGAATGCAAATTAAAACGATCTTTCGAGTCAACATTGCTTGTTATGCCAGTAGCGAACCGGGAAAACCGTTTTCAATTAATTATGTTTTCGCTCTCTCCTGCGGAATCTGCAGGAGAGAGCGAAATTTTTCTTGTAGCCCTCAATGCTCTGCACAAATAATTACAAAAACGGTTTACATATAATTTAATTTAATGCATTACAGAATAATAATCGCATAAAAATTTCAGTTTCCAATTCTAAACTATTGTCATTTATTCTATTAATTCTTTTGAAAGACAAGGATAGAAATAGAATTTACGGGGATTCTTTCGTTATTCGAAAAATATATCGATTTAAAAACTTTCCGGAGACATTGAAAAATTAAATCTTTTATTTCTTTCCGCCCACGTTATTTTGCATTTTTTAATTTCGGCTCGTTAAAGTGAGATCATAAAACTTGAAAATATTCGTACGCTTCCCATATTTGAAGAAAAAACAGTAATTCCAAGTTTTCACTGACACAAATGAAGAAAAACAAATTTTTCAATTTTCTAGCCAATTATCCCGTTTTAAAAATTTTCCGTCCGCAATTCGTGATTTCTGCTATTCAATTTCACTATTCGAAAAGATATTTGATGGGATTATTCATCGGTAGTGCCGTAAAAGGTGCAGTTTTCCATTTGCCAAAAATATATACATCAAGAATAAGAATGAATCGAATTAACTTAATCTAATCCTGAAGACGGAAAAGTCGAAACAAACAAAATAAAATAATATCGCATGAACACAAATGAAGAAAAACAAAATTTTCAATTTTCTAGCCAATTATCCCGTTTTAAAAATTTTCCGTCCGCAATTCGTGATTTCTGCTATTCAATTTCACTATTCGAAAAGATATTTGATGGGATTATTCATCGGTAGTGCCGTATAAGTTGCAGTTTTCCATTTGCCAAAAATATATACATCAAGAATAAGAATGAATCGAATTAACTTAATCTAATCCTGAAGACGGAAAAGTCGAAACAAACAAAATAAAATAATATCGCATGAACACAAATGAAGAAAAACAAAATTTTCAATTTTCTAGCCAATTATCCCGTTTTAAAAATTTTCCGTCCGCAATTCGTGATTTCTGCTATTCAATTTCACTATTCGAAAAGATATTTGATGGGATTATTCATCGGTAGTGCCGTAAAAGATGCAGTTTTCCATTTGCCAAAAATATATACATCAAGAATAAGAATGAATCGAATCAGCTTAATCTAATCCTGAAGCCGGAAAAGTCGAAACAAACAAGATAAAATAATATCGCATGAACTAATAAAATAACACAGCACGAAAAAGTGTTATTCAATGATCATAAACCACTTTACTTAATGAATAAATTCCCCACAACATCCCAATTCCTTATTGATCAGCTGGCACATACCTTACGAGCTTTCGTGTGATTTATCACACTTCTTTACAATTTATTATCAAAGTTCCATTGTACTCATTCACTCCCCGATCCACTCGCCCAACCAAAAAAATCTCGATAAATTCCCCAAAGAACCGGCCTACGTTTCTTCCCAGTGAATAAAACCCCGAAAACAATTCCAGAAATGTCACCGCAATGACCGTTTCCGGGGCTCCTCAAAGATCCCAATCTAAAAGTGCACGCTGCAATGTCCCGCCAACCCCTGTCCTTTCAAACGACTCCATTAATCATTAACAGGAACTGAGGGACGATTACATGGAAATGCGAGAGGGTCTGGACCTTGGTTACAATTTTAACGCTTCCACGACACTGGTGGCAGTTCTCGGGCGTCCCTGGTTCACAAATTCCTACGTGTACTGGTGCCTCAGTGCCCTCCTCCTGAGCTGGCCCCTGCGAATAATCATCGAGTGCAACACCCAGTACGCCGACTACCAAATAACAAAATTATTCGGCGTCAATTACGACACACCAACGAGCGGCGAGCCCATCCACGCCTCCTCCAGCCAGTTGAGTGCACCAGGTTCCTACATGCTGGCCCCCAGCTACAGCGAGGCCCTGCTGATGGAGCCGGCTGGTCCCACCTCATCGTCATCAGAGCAAGCGAATCCTGACTCTGGAGTACTCGTCCCCAGCTACTCAGAGGCTCTGCTCTACGAGCGTCCTCGCAATCCCGAGGGAGTTCACGAGATCGCCTGCTCTGTGGGGCGCAGCATCACCAACGAGAGTCTCTTCGCTGTCCTCGAGCCACCGCCCTCCACCTGCAACTGCTCCTGTCATCAAGCAAGACTCCCTGATGAGCAGACTGAGTGCACCACCTTGAGGGGTCAATCCACCACGGAATTACGTAGCTGTGGTGTCTGCAGTGCCTCCAATAATCGTATTGATAGTTTAGATAGTTCGCTGATTACTAGGGATATTTCTGAGCCAAATTTGAGGACGAATTCTTGTGATTTGCTGAGGGGGAATAGTCTGCAGTTTTTGAGGGTCAATGGGAGAAGTTTGGAGAATATTTTGGAGAGTGAGGAGGGATCGGTTGGTGTTCCTGCGGCTGGGGGGAGGGGGGCTATTCCCAAGAGGAGGGGGGTGACTGATGGGGGGAGGGCTGGGGGCAGTGGGGTGACCATCGCCAGGACTGAGGGGGGCGTCGGGGGGAAGGTCATGCCCGAGTCGAAGACGTACTTCTGTCTCAAGTCGATACTCAAACAAAATAGGAGGAGGTACACGCTGGTTACTACTGAGGAGTTCAGGAATCTTGTGGCTGGCGGGGAGAAGGGCGAGGAGGGCAGACTTGTTTTTATGAGGGAGAACTGCCTCAGGGGCGGAGGGGGGAGTGCAGAGGGGCGCAGGGAGAATCCTAATAGGTAAGTTTCATTGTTAAGGTTTGAGTTCAGGGACTTGAAAATTTCATAGAAAATTTTTAGAGGGACTTGCGCCACTACTTCGCGCGATGCCCGTAAAACTTAGGGTACCACATACGAATTCTCTGGTGATCCCCTGTTATGTCCCAGCATTAGTGAGTGACACACTAATTTTTGGAGGGACTCTCACGGAATTATGGTGTATTTTTCTCTCCGTGTGGAGTCGGTGGAAAATTTAGGCGGAGTTTCTCGAAAAAATTTATCGGTGAAATGAGTTGTGGAGGAAAATAGAATTGTATTTTTTTCTATGGAATTTTTAAGGATGAGGGATTTAGGGGGCGATTGTCTGGTCAGAATTTGGTGGACGAGTGGATCTTGACTTTTTCCACTAGATACACTCGATCTTGAGATGATTGAATAATTATGGTTTTAATGTTAATTAATGTTGATTAATTTATTGGAAAATCATAGATCATGTTGTGACTGATTGTTTTTAAGAAGTTTTTGAGCAAAATTTATTCAACTGATTTTTTAAAAATTATTTTTCTGATGGTCTGTTAATTCTCTTATGTCAACGATTGAATAAATTCAACAAATCGTTGCTGAAAAAAATTATGAAAACTAATGAAATGAAAAATTACAATTTAATTAAAATTGATTAATTAAAATTAAATTAAAAACGAAGAAAGTTACCGATGAATTGTTTTAAAAAAATCAAATCAATTGTTGTGAAGAAAAATCATTCAACTAAACACATTTTTAATTTTTTCTTCCAGAACTTTGATATTTGCAAGTCCAATTCACGAGGTTTGCAGACCAAACGATCCGTTTGCGGGTACCCACAGGCACAGAGACCGCGAAGCAATGAATTCACCCCCGGCCGCCATAAAAAAGCTCGGCAGATCTCTGACTGTCCTAGCGGAGTGTGAGCCAGCCTCTCAGATTCCATGCCATCGTCGCAGAAGCAAGAGATTCGTGCATCAACGCACCATGAGCATAGAGCCCGAGTACCTGCAGTTCTTCACAGCATCAGGGGATAATAATAAGACTCAGCAGACTGGAAGTACCACACGTTGCTTTGTAGCAGCAGCCCCACCCCCCGGCTTGACCCGTTCTCTTACCGAGAGAAGATCAAAGCCAAGTCGACACGACCGAACATTGAGGCGAAGCTTCACGGACGAGAGAACTGAATTCGGACCCCCCAGACGGATGAATCTTAATATGGAGACATCGTTGTAACGATACGTGCAATGAGTCTTCTTGTAAACATAATTGAAGCAACGAAATTCGCAGGGAAGTGGTGAAAACACGATTTTATTATTTATTTAGTTTCATTTTTCCATATTTTCTAAGTACTTTCACCTACACTGAGAGAAAAACGATAAAGTTCTCAAACAAGTCTTACTTTTGTCAAAAAAATGGTTTTTTGAAAATTATCAAAAAGGATTTTTTGTGCCAAACATGCAAAGAGTGCGCCGGAATGAAAAATTTTTGTCGCAAAAATAGGTTTAGTAGTTAAAAAAAAATTGCATTCTCTGTACACGCAAGAAATGTCATTTCTAGCACTACTCCTTCGTTATTCGATACTCCCATACGTTTTTTGGATAGTAGTTTTTCGCTTCGGCTGTCTAATAATCACAGACAAGAAATGAACCCTTAAATGAAACAATAATGATGATATGATAGCAATCTTGTAACTTAGGGATAAAATATTTGTTGATAAATTTTCCTCTGTATGAGATATTTTTATCCTGAAAAGGCACCGTCTGGTGTGAATTATCCACCCCTTGAGCCAAATATTTCGTTGCTGTCGAAAGCAGAACAATTATTTATGTTTGAGACTTTCAAATTCGAACCAAACAAATTCTTTTTTGGCAATTTTCAACTAGCGATTTTGTTGGCCCAAACAAGACTTGTTTGACAACGTGTTTGTTTTTCTCTCAGTGTAGGTGATGAAAAGGTTCAGAAGAAAATTGGGAAAGACGTTTTTAGTAATTGAGAAATTTCCAACAAGAAATATTTCTTCACGAGTTTGTCTGAACTTACTCCTTTCGGAGAGATCTGCAAAATAATTGGAGAATTTCTCTCAATTTTTGTAGTGCAAATGCAAATGTGAAAAAGTCAATTGATGATTTCTTCTTCATTTCGGACATGTTTCCAGAGGAATTCGAGAATTCGCGATGAGTCTTTCCTATTCTTCCTTGCTTTCGAAGAAAATGTCAAAGAATATTTTCTGCAACTGAAGAAATCTCCTGTTAAAATCGCTCGAAGCTCTTCCTTCTGGAGACATTTGTCTTCAATTCCTTCCATTTCGAAAATAGTATTAATCATGATTTGAAGAGAAGCATCGAAAGACTTTTGAAGAAAAAGAAATGAGAACAAATTTGTAGATTTGTTAATACCATCGTCTCAATGAAAAAGTTTAGACAAATTCAACGAATACCTTTCTCTGTAATTCGTGAAAGTCTACACGAAAGGGACCCGAGATAAATTTATCAAAGAGAAATCCCACGATTCGCGAAATTTTCGTTCAAAAGAACTCAAACGATCGGGTATTGCGTTAAATTTCTTCATTCTGAAGCTGTTTGCTAAATAATACGAAATTTCACTCTGAAGTGATTGATTCTGTAAATATCAGACATTTTTTTCTAGCCGACAAAATCTCCCACCATCGAATCCCCATTTTTGTATTATCTACAAAAAAGTCAAAAATCTTGTCACCACTTCACTGCCGACATAAATTTCTCAGCGTTAGAATCCATCCTTCCTTATTTGATAGTTCTTCCTTAAGATTAACAAAACTCACGAGAGTCGCAAAATAAATGCCTTTTAAATCAAATAATGCACGATGCGCGGTGACGAGGTGCATCGAATTATTTAAATTGGAAGAAGAATCCGAGAAAAATTTGATCAGTCGTCGACTACTTTTGTAAATCGACATTGAAGAAATTGAAAAAAATTGCCAATGTTCAGACATCATGTGCTTGAAGTCAAGTGTTTAACGACTACGGTTTAATGACTTTCTGATTTCAAACACTGGATATTGAACGATCAAAGCCGCGTATCGTGCACTAGCTCAAGTATTAAATGATAAACGTAAGCGATAATGAAAGTTAACGACATTTATGATGAATATACATGTATATAAACTAAATTCGAAAAGTGAGACGAGAAAAATACATAACTATATATTTGTTGTACATGTAATTTTAAATGCTTATACGTGTATTTTCGAGTAATGAATCAACCGAAATAGTTTAATGAATCATAAGTACATGTACCATAAGCACTCAACAGAATTAAACACGCGCAATGATAAATTTAAATGAATAAATTCCGTATTCCTACCGTCAATTTGATGCTTACGCTGGGTAATGAAGCGCATACAAAAGCCATTTAACGATATTATTGTAATTTTTACTAGGGCTCTTCAAATATGTGATAAATACGCTGAACTCTTAGCATAAATTAATCGACTGGTAAACGTGCAATTTAAGCAAATTAATGAGGTAATTGTTAACTCGTTCGGTGAAGGAAATCAGTGGAACATTTATTTGGTTTCGCGCTTGAACAATGAAGTCTTTCCAAACTGCCAGAATAGCTATAAATATTAGAATGAGAAGAGATGTGTTGGTGGATTACATGGCGAAATGACACACGTTAATGTTAACACAAACAATTTCAACGCAGTCTGCGAAATCAATAAATATTTACTTTTGGCGTGAGAATTAATTGAATGAAGAATCAAAAGAATATGAACAACAATACAGCGAATTGCATCAACAAATGAGAACATATAAATCAGTGAAATGCCGAATTCAGTGAATTTATATCAAATTACAATTAAACTAATCACAACGAAATAATATCATGCTACACAACACTTTACAGTTTTTTTTAAATCAACTCCCAATACTCATAATCACAAAAATATTATCTTTATTAAGGCGCGCGTGTAGTATCTTTCGGAAGTGATGTTGGTTGGTTTTTTATTTTGATAATCCGATATTCTTCGATTGCCATTCAGTGTTACGTGGCCCTGGAGTCTTAAAAAATTATGATTATACGTTTTAAAAAACGTTGAAAAAACAGAATATTTTCAAAGAGCGGTTTTGAATAATATTGGGGAATAAACCCAATAGGGAGGAAATGGCAAATTGATAATTTATAGTATCTAATGGCTCTTCAGCCGTCATTTGTCTCAGATCGTTAGTTGTCGTGATAAAGTATCCATTTACAATTTTCTCTCTCTCGGACTTCTTTCTTAATCTTTATTAAAACTATTCTTTGAAAATGTTTATTTTTTTTCTACTTTTTTTATTGCGCAATCATAATTTTTAGGGACACCTACGTGAGGTAAAATCCAGCGGAAATTGTGATATATTTTGGATTATGAAGATGGAAAAAAATCGAGATAACGGTCGAAAGATGATCCATCCGGGCCTTAAACTTTATTAAATCTGCATTAAATTGCAATTACCGCGACGATCCAGATAGTCGAATACTCCGAGTTATCCTGTTACTAATCCCTCAATTATTATCACAAGTAGGGATTATTGAGGTGACATAAAACTACGAAAACACACACAGAAAACTACACACGTGTGAAATTTGCATACATTAAATTGTCAAGTGTTGAAAATGCATTTTTAAAATCGGTGTGTCGAAATTTACGTGTGTTATTTTGACCAGTAACCGTGTTGTTGAATGTCAAGGGACTGAATTGTACGGGGCATCCAGTGGTCGACTATTTCCGTTGAGCTATCTGGAATTATTGAAGTGGTGATTGTTCAGGGGAACGTGGTGAGGGGCTGGAGGTGAGTTGCGACATTTCGAGGAGATTATTTTTGTAGTTTTGCAATTGAAGGAAAATGTCAAATCTCTCTCGTACGAAGCCTTTGTGCACATTTGCAGAATTATCAATCGATTTGGAGATCTCATTGCCTGCTAATTTGTTTCTATATCCATTAGAAATTAAAATTGTTTACTTGCGCCAGTCAATGTCTCATTTGTAAGAAAAAAAATGTTTGAATTCATAAGTCAACTTCTGGTTTGATCACATCGAAAAAATTTTTTGGATGCAAGAAATTTCTTTCCACGTGGTTTTTCAGTAAATATTCGAGAAATAACTGGAATTGTTCGCGCATTTGCCCATTCGGGGTCGTCTCCAGCTCTCCACCACTCCCCTACCCGCACGAAAAAAAAATAAAAATAAAAACTTGAAAAAATATAGTAATATAATCCTTCCAGCCAATCGCATCAATAGCCCTCATCAACACGGTCTACGTCAGACAATCCACAAATTACGATTAACTAAACGAAAATTTGACGATTCAAACGATAGTAGAATTTTTATAACCACGTAAGATCTTTGCACAAACAAAATTAATTAAGAAACCTACGAAAACGATATTTAGTCATCGCATAAACTCATGCCGTCTTGAAAAAGTGCTCTTGTAATTAAAGAAAAAAAAAATGCAACAAAAGCGAGATAAAAAAATGAATTTGATTTGAATTTGAGGAGGAAAATTAGTTCGAGATATTTACAGCATTTTTAGGGAGTAATACATAAGTGCTTCGAGAGTAATTCACTGGTCGCTCTTCGTTGAGTGCGGGCAATGTGCATCCTGTACGTAAAAATGTTTAAATTATGACGAAAACGAGAAGAAAAAGAACAAAAAAAATTGAGTGAAGGTATTCGTGGCGAGGGCCAAAATAATTGTACTCATTTATAGTAATTTAACATAATTGTGATTATTATACATAAACTGCATTATATTGCCGTACGAAATAAAGACAAATGGTTGATGGTTACAAATAAAATGTGGATTAATTCAATTCATTGGTTTCCTTGAGTTCTATTGAGGCACACAGTATTTATTGATAACGATTTTGAATAGATTTTTATTATCAATTCAAGCTCGATCTTTGACACTGAGTTAGGTGCGGGTCTCGTTACCAATTGCCGTAGTACAAACAATATAATTTACGCATAACACCACAAAATATACAGAGAATAGTCAGTAGTAAAGTGACAAATCGATACAAAATTGAGAAGATCATGGCGAAGTGCTAAAAATGCAAAAATGATATTAATGTAGTTTGGATAAAAAAGAATGTTTTTACATGTTGAAGCCATTCGCAAATTTTAAAAACGAATGATAGAAATCGTTTACGAGATAATATAATAGTAATTCCTGGGATTTGTCGTGGATTCTCATGAAAAAATAACATTTTTCATCAAAGAAAAAGTAGAAGAAAGTTTATAACTTTGAATATGATTGAAATTAAAAGGAAAAAATACATCAAATTATGAAAAAAATTTGAATATATCTTCTTGAGTAAAAGTTTTGATTTTGAATCAAAATAACGAAAAACTTTTTATGGAATAATTTATCAGCCGCAACAAAACAACGCTAGCGTGCAACATGATTAAAAATTATTTATTTTTTAGCGCTTTTCAGTAGCCGAATTGATGTTTTCAGTATTCTTGGAGCCGTTCAATAGATATTGAATAATGAAAATGACTTGTGTGTCATTAAGGGTCTCAACATAACTAGGAATTCAACAAAATGCCACATCTGTCCGAAATTATATGATTTCAATCCTTTACTACTGACGTGGAGGTCACGTGCCGCGTGTTGTTTACAGTTAATCAACATTACATACTCTTCTGTTTATTTCTTCATTTGTATATTAACAGACAGATACTAAACACACATTATCGATGAGATCGTACATCGAGTTAAGTGAAAAATATTGAAAAAGTTGTGCATATTCGCAGTTTGTTCCTCCAAATAAAATCCAACGATCCTATCTAAGTGTTGTTCTTGTAATAAATAAACTATTTCTCACATAATTGTGTCTTTTTTTTCGGTTTTTTCTCTTTCTTTTGGGACTCCTCGATAGCCGGACTAGGATAAAACGTGTGAACATGGTCTCTGGCCAGGGGCTAATGTCGACAGACACTTCAGTCGACGGGTTAAGATGGATTATCCGTGAAACCAGGTCGTGTGTAGTAAACTCGGTAGTAAAGAGTCTTACTTCGCCACAGAGAGTATGAATTATCGAATTTCAGTAGGTAAACACCTTCACCTGGATACTGGTGGCTACCTGCGTAAACTTCCTCTTGGGAGTCTCGTCGAAATACCTGAAGTGAAAAAGTTCAAAAGTGAAGTATTCAAAATCTAAAAAAAATTCATTAACTTAACTTAAGTTTTTGTCAAGACACAATGATAAATTCGTAATGATAAATTCAAGCTCAACAAACTTGTAGATTTCATCAATATTAAAAAAAAAAAAAATTTGTTTTTAATTTTAAAATTTTTTTAAATTAAAAAAAAAATTTCATATTGCGAGAAAAAAAATGTTCTCACATTATGGAAAAAAAGTCGTCACATTATGAAAGAGTTGTTTTTTTTTCTGTCATAAAAATGTTGGAAAAAGCTCTAGATGATAAAAATTATTATAAAGTGAAAATCACAAGTTATTTAAAAGAAAAAAAATAAATCTCAACTGCAATAAAAATCACGAATAAAAATCTTCCACAACTCACCGGCACAATAATGCTGATCTGCGGTGAGCTGGGTTTCTCCTCCGGATTGCACTCCCCGTTGACCCCAGTCTCGAGATCCTCCCCAGCATAATCATCCTCATCGTCCTCATCCTCGGACTCACTAATGTGCACGGACACCTGATTGGTCTCAGGCTTGGACCACTCGAAATAAACCCCAAACCCGATGTCATATCCATCAGTAGCAAACTCCCAGAAGAGGAAGGCGCCGTCCTCGTGAGTGGGCACCCTCACAGTGACAGTCTCCCCATGCCCCACCCTGATGACAGCATCGCCAGCCTCCCTCTTGATGGTGTCCTTGAACTCCTCCACCCCAGGCCTGGTCCACATCTTGGGGGTTTCAATGGGCGGCCAATCAGGCTCAGCATCCGAGTCGTCCTCCTCCTCATCGCGTCCCTTGTCCTTCTTCTCCTCATTCACCTCCTCCTCCTCCTTCTGTTCAGACTTCTTCTCCTCCTCCTCAGTCTCATCGATCTCCTTCTTCTCACTCTCCTTATTTTCCTCAATCATCAGTCGATTCTGGTGGAGCTGCTGCATGTACCTGCGTAGAGATAGACAAATAAGTAACACCAATGATTCATTTTTCGTTATCAAATAGATAGTACTGTTGCATTCCTTCAAATCTAAGCAATAGCTGCAATCCAATTAATATTGTGTGCAGAGGAATTGATAATAGGAAATAGAGAATAATAATTGCCTGAATTTTCAGTTTTCAATAATTTCCATTGTGATATTGAGAAAATTGTAGTTTGGTTGAACCTTCCAGAAATTAAATGACTTGAACTCCGTTATTAGAAATTTCAAGTTTTGTTACATCAAATTCTAAGACTAATTTTCAAATACAAGACTAAATATTTTCAATTACTCGTTGATTTTATAGTGAACTATATTTTCTCGTTATCCAAAGTAATGAAATAATACGTAATTTTGATGAAAATGTAACAGTAAGTTGTACCTGTGATAATGCTGCTCCTGCAATTGCCTGATCAGCACCCCCTGTTGCTCAGGATTCCCCGGATACTGCTGTTCAGCATAAGCCTTGAACTGATGATAAGTCTGCTGATTGAGTGCCTCCTGAATCTGCCTCCTCTGGTGCTCCCTCTTCTGCAACTCCTCCTCCTCCCTCTTCTTCTCCTCCTCCAGCTCCCTCTGCCTCTTCTCCTCTTCGATTCTCTTGAGTTCCTCCTCCTTTTTCCTCCGCTCTTGCTCCTCGATGTTTCGCTTCTGTGCCTCGACTACCGTTCTGAACAGGGGACACAGTTTGTCCAGCAAAATAATGAACCCCTCCATCGCCTCCTCCCTCGTTATGTCCCCCAAGTTCTGCCATGCCAATCGTCTGTCCTTCCCAATGACATCCAACACCCCCAACTCTGGTGAATTGTCTGGTGTACATTTGCCATGAGTCGCTTGCTGGGTAAACGCCACCAATTTCAACTTGTCCTCGTACGACAAATGCACTGCCTTACCTTCTTTCTCTGAAAATTAATCAATTTCACGTGGTGATCGGTCACTGTTGGAAAAAAAATGAAATTTCATGGACAGTAGATTACTAATTTTCAGGACAGTGACACTGAATGCCATTTAGGGGAAAAAAATTATGAAATTTCAGGCTTCACTTAAAATTCAGGAAAATTCTAGAGTTTTATGCAGCATAAAGACGAGAATTCCTTCATTTATTTGAATTTCCAATCTAATATGAATATTCAGTGCCAAATTACATTCAATTTTCAGTGAAATCTGAAATTTCAAGATTTTTTTCCTCCTAAATCGTATTCAGTATCTCTGTCCTGAAAATTCAAGAATATATTTACCGGAATTTTCTATTCATTTTCAGAGCGAATGAAACTGAAATTTACAGTTCTCGTTGATTTCTTCGCGAAATTCGGAATTTTCAAAGACGAAATTCCTTGAAATTTCAGTGGTAATTAAATTTGATAAAAATTTCCAAAAAGTGTACCGGAAATTTCGGACAAAATTTTTAATAGTATAATAAATACATCCAGTGTTGAAAATAATGGGTTGAAAAATTGTTACAAAATTGAAATTTCCAGGAATATCATAATTGAAAATGCACAATTAAATGAGACAATTGAAGGAAACGATGAATTTCAATTCGTTTTCCATTAGAATTATCAGAAATCATGAAAAATTCAAGAAAATACATTAACTAATTGAAAATTCGACCCAATTTAATACTAAATCCCCGTTTCGATTAAAAATTCAAGTAAATTAGGAAATTATCGTTTTCCTGCTGCTCAAAATGGTAATTTCATGGAATTTTCGTCTAATCTTGTACAGCCTCTACTACTTATTCAAGATTAATTGACCTACAATCAATCTCTCAGTAATCAAATCATCAATATCTCCAGATCAAACTCTCGGATTGGAATAAATCAGGTCTCATTCCAAAGCCTGGAGAGCGCCTTTGAAAAAAATGGTAAATTTCCCACTGTCGATCTTGCATTACTAATGATAAAAAACACGACTCATTTCGCCTTCCCCACCCCATCTATTGTTCTTCGCGATATTGCTCTTGTTGTCATTTAGGTCCCGGGTCTCCTCGCGGCGTAGTATTGACGAGACATACACAGTGATTCCCTGAATTATTCATAAATCGAACAGCCCCCCCCAATGTCAGAATAATAATAACAAGGTGAAACATCGTCAATAGTGTGAGGGTTGAATAAACTAGGCCTGTCGCAATAATACAATTATCGACTTACCTTTGTAAAAATTCAGGGCTATTTTGTAGAGCTCACGGGTCTCAAATCCCGAGAGATGCGGCTGAAATCCCAGGGTGTCAGCCGAATCATTATTTTTCACTGTTGACGGGTCAACGGACACTGTTAATTTATCAATATCCTCAGTGACAGCCACCACTTCACTCTCTGTTGACGCCATTTGTGGTGAATACGATTGTCAATGGTTTATTTATTTATCTGGGCACTTTATTATGGTAATGTCAGGCAGTCAACTGCATCTGATTACTGGGGTGGGCATTTTGGTACTGTGGAGGTGAGGTATTCTGTCTTCATACGTGGCGAGGGGGTACCAATCTATTTTCCGCGTGTTGATAAGTTGAAAGTCCCATTTTACCAACTACAAGCGATTTATCAACTTCAGGAACTATTTGTCATCTGTGGGTAAGCCAGAACGCTTCACTAAACGTCTGTAGGTGCCTCTGTGTTGTTTACTTTCGTGTTTATTTTAATTATGTTGAATTATGGGAATTAGGTAAAATTAATACACCATAATAATGGCGTTTTTCTTTCTGTCGTTAACCTCAGGTTGGTCAACTTAAAACATGAAGTTGTCACCTGTTTTACCGACTGATCGAGAACCTGAGAGAAACCTGAGAATAACCTTGGCCACACGAAGAAAAACGCAATAATTCATTGTCTAGTCGCCACGTTTAACGGAATATTTCTGCGTATTTGGTATTTTCCTCCTTTTCAGCCGCCTTCGTGTACGATCGTCTCTTTCTGCCTCGTTATTTTATTATCTTCGTTTCGATTCTGCGAACGCGTCACTTCTTTTTGTATCTTTTTATTGTTATTCTTTTCGCCTCAATTTATTCAATTTTTTTTTCATTTTTAATTCCGACATGAATGATCTTTGATCATCATGACTGCAAGGGAAACCATGGAAAATCCCTGTCGCACAGCCGGTTGATATTGCAGGGTTGGAATTGATTTCAGTAGTGGGAGGTCAAACGGCCAGCTACTAATTCGTTTAGCTATGCTGGCTAATTCTAAAAGAGTTAGCAAAATTTTTCTAAGAATATTTTTTGTAAAGAAAAGAGAAGACTATCGAAAAAGTTCTTACAAAAAATTCGCTATCTTTCTTAAATTCCGAGGTATTCAACAAAAACTCGGAGCTAAGTCGACTTAAACCGATTGACCACTTCACTACGGATTTAATAAACTGTTGTTTATTATTAAATGAGATATTGAAGCTTTCACAGGCTCTGGATACAGGCCAAATCCAAAAGTTAATACGATAAAAACGCTAATAATCTTAAATGAATCACTTTCCAAACCCACTGGATGACAATTAGAAAAAACACGTTGATAAGCTATAAAAATTAAAGTAAAGTAAATTCTAAAAACATGTTTCTCGTCAAATTTGACAGTCACGATAGAAAATTTAAAAATAGCAGAAGCGACAGACCAAAGAGAAGTGTCAAACCGGTTTAATTAATCGGTAATGAAGACCTGCGACCTTCAGCTTTTTAAAAAAATTATATTTTTGTTTTCATTGAAGGACATTTTTATTTTAGAACTCCCATTGACGTAAATGATTGCCGTTGCATTTCTCAAATCAGCGTTTTTTATTTCTTCTTTTTCGTTATTTTTTTTATCGTTTTAAATGCCAATGTGTGTTGATCAGGTGAACGATTCAACTGAACCGAAAAAATTAATGTTATCGTGGAGGACTGATAATCTAGCTGATTAGGGCCACATGTCCATGTAACTATTACTGGTCTCATGCACCTATAGCTTTGGTTTCGATATAAATGTACAGGGCTTGCATATGAGAACCGTGAGATTGTCGTCACCCGTGATATTATCAATTTGAAATAAAGGTTGAATGTGCGCTGGAAGGCATACTATGAGCGAGGATTTTTTTTTCACTTATTTTGCTGAATTTGAAAAACTGGGCCATCGCGATGGACTGGCGATTGATTTTTATATCGGCGCGATCTCGGCGGTTGGGTTTGGTCAGATGAAGGACTGATTGCAGGAGTTTTTTGCGCTCAAGAATTAGGGAAAATGAGAATTTATTCGGGTGTTCAATTTTTTTAGTTTTTTTTTTTGCGGTTTTTATCGATTTGGTGGAGATTCTATCGTCGGGATAGGGAAACGTTGAAACTATCAACTCTTGTTGGACGAGTACTCTAGTTTAAGCCTCGGGCACTTCATCTCGAGGGTTTTTGATTGTAATTAACGAATCGGTAATTGAGTCATCGATTTTAAAATCAATAAAGATGAATTTCGAATCTACAGAAATACAGATGCAGAGGTGAGATTTTTTTTTAAGAAAGTCTATTAAATTTCTATTGAAGTTCTATTGGAAATTCTATCGATTTTTGACCGATTTGTTGATGAATTCTGGAGTTTTATTGCCGATTTTTTTATAAACTGTCCAATAGAAACTATTTTATGGAAAAAATGTGTAGAATTTCCTCTTTCTATTCAACTGTTTCGATTGAAAAAATTAAAATGATTAAAATTAGAAAATTTTTAGAAATTTTAATAGGAATTTTTCGACCTGAATTTTCTATATTTTTTTTCTGTAAGTCGTACAGAAAAATCGAATTCCATTAATATTTTCTATAGAATTTTTTCCCTTTAACATTTCTATAAAAAAAACGCGCAGATGATTTATAAACGCTGCGGAATTTATCACTGGAATCCGCCAAAAACTAGTAGAAAGCCCAATAGAATTTCCTAGTGAATTCGCTCGATTTTTCAACGAAATTATTTCCTACACGCGAGGGTTGATTATTTTCTACTTAGAGGAAAGCAGAAATCTATCGCAATAATGCGAATAATATTTTTCCCCACTATGACGTCAAAATAAGACATTGGCAAAATTTTGAGTTAGAAATCGACAGATCGGTAGTCGAAACTAATCTCTATAGGGATGTTATCGTTACCTGATAACGTTACCTGCGCGCCTATCTGGTAGCCATATTTTCGATAGAATATATAACTGGTAAATGTATAATCAGGACAGTCAGTGCTGTACTAGGTGCGTAGTGAGTTTTAATGTCATCGTCGATACAAAATTGCAGTTTCAACACAAAAATCCACACTCGACTCAATAGTCTATTTACAAAGACCGAATAAATAGATGAAAACATAGAAATAGCAACCGAAATTAATTCGATGATTGGTGGCAACAATTTTCAATATTTTCCTGACAACCAGGCGAAATTCCAGAGGATGGCGGCAGGATATGACGACTGCTACGACTCATCCTGGCACCTGATCCCGCCTGACTACGTCTCCAACGAGGATGACTACAGGTGAGTGCCGAATAATTACTCGAAACCCTCGGGAATAAAAAAAATCCGAAATTAACCGGATGTTACATGCGTGCAGGGTGTGCTTGTAATCCTCCCGAGAGTGGTACGCCTTGTTACACTACTCGAAACATCCCTGGAGTTCCTCTTGCCACCTGTTCGGTTTACACGTTTAAATTCCGCTCGATCGAGCCCCATTTGCCAATCGAGTGTGTAACCTTCAATCGAAATATATCAAGCGAAAGTGAAGGAAAACTTTTGATTTGATAAATCACGTGTGAAAGAATTTGATAGACTAATCTAACGTTTTCTTTCAGAAATTTTCGTTGGAACTCTAGAAGAATTCTCTTGGAGTTCTGTTAGAATTCTGTTCAAAAAATTCTGGTCGCTCTTGGCGCCATTTCTACAGAAGATTATGCAACTTTACCGGGACATTTTGTACCCTTAAGCATATGTCCAAGTACTTTTTTATTTTATTTATTCATTTTCCCAGTTCTGGTGCATTTAAAAAAAATATCTGTTTTTTTTTTCGAAACAAATTAATGAAATTGTTGAACAACTGAAAAAGAATTTGAAAGTAATTTTTGTTAATCCTAACGAATTTGATCCGATTCAAAATTTTATCAAAAATAAAATTCTTGATAGTTTAAATAATTCTCACCATTTGTTTATAAACATCAAATGCCCGTAAAAAAATAATTTTTAGCAAAACATTAGTCATCTGACAAAATTATGGAAAGACTTTGGATATTTTTATCTGAAAGAATTTGGAACAAGATATTGTCTGACATTATATTAAACTCGATAAAATCAATTGGACGAACTCAAAAATTCATGACCCGGAACTCCTCGAGCACGCTCAATTCGAGTCCCTTAAATTTCAGCACTCGCGCTCTGAAACTACAAAAAGAAAATTTTGTCCAAGCGCAGAAGCTCCGCATTGTCCATTCAATTTTATCAAAAATGAAATTCTTGATAGTTTAAATAATTCTCACCATTTGTTTATAAGCATCAAATGCCCGTAAAAAAATAATTTTTAGCAAAACATTAGTCATCTGACAAAATTATGGAAAGACTTTGGATATTTTTATCTGAAAGAATTTGGAACAAGATATTGCCTGACATTATATTAAACTCGATAAAATCAATTGGACGAACTCAAAAATTCCTGACCCTGAACTCCTCGAGCACGCTGAATTCGAGTCCCTTAAATTTCAGCACTCGTGCTCTGAAACTACAAAAAGAAAATTTTCTCCAAGCGCAGAAGCTCCGCATTGTCCATTCAATTTTATCAAAAATGAAATTCTTGATAGTTTAAATAATTCTCACCATTTGTTTATAAGCATCAAATGCCCGTAAAANCTCGATAAAATCAATTGGACGGACTCAAAAATTCCTGACCCTGAACTCCTCGAGCACGCTGAATTCGAGTCCCTTAAATTTCAGCACTCGCGCTCTGAAACTACAAAAAGAAAATTTTCTCCAAGCGCAGAAGCTCCGCATTGTCCATTCCCCTCCACATCCGGCGTTTCGTCCCAAAAAACCTGTGGCCATTTTGAAATAACTTCTTAAACGCTTCTTAAACGTCGGAGGAGCCAAAGCCGTTGACGTCCGCAACGCCAAACTCGCCGCACAAACTTTGGGTCACGTCTGACCCTATAGAACGTGAAGTGCAAGGTTAGAGAGAGATATTCTTTCATTCAGAAAAAAAAAACTACCAGTGTCCAAAAGAGGCCCTCGAGAGTCCCCGCGGTGGATTCTACTACGTAGTACTACGAAACTTACTACGTTCATTCACTGGACTCGGCGGCCCACCCTCGGGGCCCATTGTCCAGGATCATGAATGAAACGAGAAGACTACCGATACTTCAACTACGATTTTTCTCACAATCTGTGACATCCTCTCCGCCAGTCACCTTCGCTTTTTCCATTCACTTTTTTCAGACAAATACTTGTTTTTCTCTTCTCTTTCACGGACGATCGGACGTGATATCGTATCTCCAATGATAGATGTTGAAAAAATTGAAAAATTTTTCCAATTGAGAACTGGGCTTTGATTTGAAAAATTTGAGATTAGAAACGTGCGGAATGAACTCATTTGTTTCAATTGCACATTATTTTTTTATATTGCAGGAATGTGCATGACCCGTAATGCAGATATTTTAAATCGTTTGTCACTCATTAATTCATGATTATTTGTAAAAATAACAGTAAACGTCTAAATACTTTAATTTTGTCAGTGAAAAATTACATATTTCATTGAGAAAATCTATGAAAATTGTAAATTTTAGTTCAATTCTCCACACTGTTAAGAATTTTTATCGAATTTAATTAGGGGAGGTTGGGGTAAAACGGACACTTTTGACTTTCTTTAAAAATGTTAATGAGGGGTTGAAATTTTAATGAAATTTAATAATTTTTTCAGTACGAAGAACAATTCTGTCCCTTTGTGACGAGCATAACCTGAACTCAATTGATAAATTTGTTTCTGAGTTATGCACAACTACAAAAAAGTCTAAAGCGTCCATTTTACCCCACCCTCTCCTACCACTGAAATTTAATTTCCATTTCTCCCTGAAAATGAATAGAAAACCTGAAAATTCAATGTAATTGGGCACTGAATATTCATATTAAATTAAAAATTTAAACAAATTAAGGAATTCTCATCTTTATGCCGCTTAAAATTCTGTAATTTTACTAAATTATCAGTGAACCCTGAAATTTCATGATTTTTTTCCCCCCTAAATCGCCCTCAGTGTTACTATCCTGAAAATTAGTAGTCAACTGTCCATGAAATTTCAATTTTTTCTAACAATGCAGTAAAAACTAAAAAAAGTGTGCATCCTTAAATTTTAAATTGAACGAAAATTCAAAAGACTTTGAAATTTCCCTATCTCAACGCACCTCAACCGAATGCAATCTCACTTTTGTGGAAATTACCACCAGATTATCCACGAACTCAAATTCTTCGAACATGTTTCAATGGCCAAACTTCCAAACTATTCAAATAAACTATTTCAATAACAAAACCCTATACCAATCCAATAAAGTCTCCTCATTTCTCCCTAAAATGCCCTCCACTCGAGCGTCAACCCCAATAAACCAAACGATTAACTAATTTTTTGTCGCCAGTACTGCTCCGACCCTAAATTCATAAACCCGACAGTCCAAACGTACGAAAAAATCATGAATGGAGCATCGAGTGCTCGTAGAATTCTGCAGGTACACCATCCGAACAGGTATGAATGGGCAATGCACTCAAGTGGTTTGGTGGAGGCCCCGAAAATTTCGGGAAATCTGTGCACAGGCACGTTTCGGCAATAAATAGAATAAAGTTGGACCTGCTGCAAGACGCTTACAACTTGAAGAATATTGGTACCAGTACCTCAGGTGGTGGCCGTACTGTCCTCATCCTCAATCCGCCCCTCTCCCCTCCCTCCCCCACAAATTTGGCCGCCGGTAAGAATTCCCCCTGGGACGAGGACCCTCGGAGAACGACCGGAAAAACCGACAGGTACTCATATTGTCATGTTAATGGGGGGTGGAAGTAGTCGTTGAAATAACTCGCAAATGGGTGAACGTCCATTCATCTCAGGCACGTTTCCCAGATTGGCGGCAGTGTGCACCTGAGGACACCCTCATTCACCTCTCCCTCAATTCTCAATTCCTCAACTGTGGGAAATATTTCAAGTGTCAAGTACTTCTGGGGGACTCCATCATATTTACTGGAGAGGCGGGAGTACTGCCTCACCTGTTATTTTCCTCTTGCGCTCCAATGATTTCTGACAATCGTTCGGGTATTTATGAATTTTGCAAGTATGACGCATCAGTTGTTTGAGCCCAATTGTGATTGAAAATATTCTTTCTAATGGCGTCGTGAAAAAAAATTATTTTGAAAGCAATATTCAGGCAACGAGAGAAATGTTCAGTAAAAATTACGGAATTCATAGTTCGATCAGCGATTACGGAATCGACTCGGAAAATTTAAGTGGCGCTATCCTAATTTTTCACACACGGAGAGAAATTTTGTAGAAAAATTCCAGTACTAGAGCGAGAAAAGAGTCGCAAAGTGACGGCCAGGAAAAAATTCCAGTGTCGGCACTAGAAATTTTATTGGGGAAAACGTGAATTTTTCCCGTATTTCTGTGAAAATTTCACAGAAATCCTCAGAAATTTTACCTTAACAGCAGTAGAATTTTTTATAGCCGGTGGATTGTAATTTTTTCCAGCACTCGTACTAGAATTTTTCTAGAAAATTTCTCTCGGTGCAAGAGATTCAGATAAAAATTACGGAACGCTCCAGAAAAATTCCGCGACAGTTGCGTAAAATTTCCTACATCCACATTTTGCTCCGGAATTACGGAAAAGATACGGAAATTTATTGAATATTTCTCTCCGTGGGGACAGGNTAAGGAGTGCATTTCTCACTTTTTCACTCCTAAGTAGTGCATTTCTCACTTTTATACTGCTCAACGGTAAAAAGACCTACTTCTCATGCTTAACTACCGTCGGTAAAAGAGCCCTTTTTGGGCTTGAGCAATGAAAAAATCTTAACGCTGGGGCAATTCTGAATTCCATGAATCATTAATTTCAATTCAAAATTCGTCGTCACAAAAATTCCATTCGGAAACAAATGGCTAATTGATTAGCAAAAATATGTAGACTATGGTATGAGGAAAGCTGTAATGAGTTGAAGTTATTCGAATATCCCGCGCCAACCGAGGCCAAAAATATTGGAATAATTTAGTAAATTGACGAGATGTGTCGCTCTGACATGACCGGTCAGTCAATAATTTCTCTAATCATTTTGTCATTTGAAAGTTTGAGTAATTGTATTAATCATTAATTAGAATAATGTTTTGTCGTATTTAAGACTGCTGTAAAGATAAAATTATATATTGTGACTTGAAAATAATATTTATATATTAAAAGCTCGTAATTTTGTATAAAATAAAATCATCGATTTTGATAACTCAAATGAATAATGTATTTCATCGCACTCA